AAAATCAGACCTAATAGGAATCTTGAATGCCACACTGTAGTTACTCTAATCAGTAACCTTTACTATTCAGGAACCAGGGCAGAAAGATATATGCAAAATTGCCTGCATCTGAAAGGGTTTTTTGGTGTCTAAAATGATCACCAGCACAGAAAGATTGTGTGACAGGTACTGACAAAAATCTCCAAGACCTGCAATTTTGTCCACAGGACATGAAAGAGGGAGAAGCAGAGGTGCAGTGTCTGTCCACCTCAGCAGGTCTCACCTGGGGATGACGGCTGCAGCCTGGAAAAATCCAGGTTATTCTATACCTCTCCCCAGGAAAGGAGAATTAATTTTTTTAAGTGCTTGGGTTTTTTTGCCAAAAGAACAAAAGGCATTTCTGTAGCCCTGGGAGTCCCCTCCCGTTTCCCAGCCAGGCTCGGCGCACTCTCCCTGCGAGGGGCAGCAGTTTACAGCCCCAGAGATCCCCAGCCGTGCTGTGCGCTTGACTGCAGGCCCGACAGTGCCCGGCAGCTCTGACAGCAGCTCAGCGCTCCCTCCGCCCCAGGCAAGGACAGCACGTCCCACACCGTTCCCAGCCTCTTACCTGCCCACACAAAGTCCAGTACCTGGCAGCCTGAGGCACTCCCGAGCCCTCCCAGCAGCCATCCTCGGCCTCGTTCCCCACACCTTCCTACTGCGGCAATGGCGGCGCGGCCGCGCGGGGCCCTCACAGGGCACAGCCGCAGCCCTGCACTCGGGGAAAACACGGTAACGCGCTCGAGGTGTTTAGGGAGCAAATCGGAGAGAGATGGGCCGGCTGTGACCACAACCTGGGCTTTCAGCCTCACAGCACACAGGCCAGCCCCATTAGCAGGAATTAATTATCCCCACCTGCCCTGGGCTGCTCGTTAGCCTGGCCCGGACACCCGCATCACATCCCAGGGCCCAGCACCAGCCCGAGGAGCTGCCTGGAAAATCAAAACATTCTGAATTCACTGAGCCAATATAAGAGACAACAGTGGACTCTTTTCTTCCGTCTTTGACCAGACCTGTTAACTTTACAAATCTATTCTATCTGCTTCTACAGCCATTCTGGTTTTATGTGAGCATTGAGTGTGCCTCTTTCATGTGTTAAACAATGGTCGACATCATCTATGCCAACAGCAATTAAGAGATATATACACACACACTCATATATATACATACACATACATACATAGATATACACGCATGTATGAAAACACAGAGTAGAGGTTCCCAAGCTTTCATTTAGTTGTCATTCTTAGCAGCAGTGGGTATTCCCAGCTCTGTATCAGAGGCAGCACATCTGCTGGTTGTGCACCCAGGTAAGAGCTACCCAGAGCTCTTGGAACAGCAGCCAGAGAGTCTAGCAAGGGATACTTAAAATAAATAAAAGAAACAGACAATACCCCCCAAGGTACACACTTTCATCTACTCAGTTCAAACAATGCACACATATTCCTGATTTTTGTCTAGTCTCCTATATTAATTTTTACCTCCTGGAACAAACAGAATGGTTTCTCTTCTGGAAAACAGGTTCCCCCTCTGCTCTAGCACAGACTGTCTGTACCATGGGCAGAGCAAAGGTTTCCATCAAGCACACTCCTGCTGTCGGTCAGGAATGAAGAATAGTGACAGAAGCTGATTATCTTAGCAAGTCTTGCTGCTGCAGGCATGCACAGCATGCTGTGTCCCCAAATAGATAAAGTCAACTCACTCTCACATTTGCTGTTTCTCCTAAATTGCAAAGCTGTCATTTGCATTTCAGTGCCAACTTTTTTCACAAGAGGTCTGTATAATATTTTAGCCCTTGTCAAACATTATACAAATATTAATCTTTTAATCATATACCATCTCAAAGCTGAAGACACAGCACATTTAGAGAAATTATTAACAATGCTTAGAAATTAGAGATGTTAATTCCAGTCAAATTCCAGTATTTTAAAAACTCTCATTGAAATAAAAATGCATTAATGTGTTATTTCAGAAAAATCAGCAAATAATAAAACAAAATAGTCTAATATAATGTCAATGTTATTGTCATTTTTGACTCAATGGTTTTGAATAGTTATCTTTTGCTACTCCAAATGTTGTCTACCTCACTGCTTCTATGTTTAAATAAACCAACACTGAGGAAACAAATGGAAAACAGAAAAATGAGCTGTCCTAACATTTTTACAGTTAGGATGTTAATGTCCCCACTCAAAGGAGAAATTTTCAAAAGAACAGCCATAACAGAGAATTTTCTTCTTACGTACTTCTATTTTATTGGGTTTTTTGCATCTTTGATGGAATTTTTATGAAACTATTATGCCACAATCTATGATACACAATGAGAGTGAAAATCTGTCATTTACTGTTTATATTTCTATGTTAATTTTGTTTTCTACCTCTGCCTATACTGTGGCAAAAGTGCATTTAGCATATTTCATGCAGCACTGACTCCCTTATGCAAGCTGAGAATACAATAAACAGAGCCAGGAATATTTAGCTGCATTCAATTCTTGCTACAGAAACAAGCATTCATAAAAACATTCAAATACTTTGGGTGATGGTTACTGTCTATCAGCTTAATGTTTTGAGCTATAGAAAGGGATAGCAAACAACATTTGTGGCTGTCAACTGCAGTACTTTCCAAGTTTATTAGGTTTTCAAAGACTGAATTAGCTGAAATACTTCAGTGAGAGAAAAAGCCCAGGGCAGCCAGCCTGATTTAAAAGGAATCTACAGAGTTTCACAAACATTAGACTAAGTTCAGTTCTGGACTCCATGGTAAGTACCTCACCACATTACTTCTTTGCTCTGACAGAAGGATTGTTTGTTTATCATCACAGTTATCCAAGCCAAATAAAAAGTCAATACAAGGCACACAGGCCTTTCTGGAAACCTGCCTGGATATGTAGTATCTGATCATAGCTAAAGTTTTTAATTACAGCTTTTTATTTTGATGAGACAAGAAGCCCAGGGAATGGGAGCACCTCTTACTTTTGAAATCATTTGATACTTATTTACAGTAATTAGAAGACCCACAGACTAAGATATGAGCCTCCCCAAGCACACATTGCAACCTGGGATAAGAGAAGCTTCTTGTGTCAAAGAGGTCCCAATTTAAATAGACAAGTGACAAAAAATGGTGGAAGATAAGCTGGAATTTTTTCCTTATAAACTGGGAAGCAAGGTACAGAGTAATGAAGTCAGCTGCTGGATCCTTTTATTTGGTAAAGCAAAAATACATATTTTCCAGTATTTTCCCCACTTTCCTTTTAAATGCAGTGTTTTGAGAGACTACTAGTCAGAGACAGGTCGAGGCCCTGCAGTTAGAATGTCTTTCCCTCAAAGGCCTCCAGGTTGAAAGCTGTATCCAGGAACCTTCTGAGTGACACCAGATGCATGTTCTTGTTGCCTGTGGCAGGTGCAGCAGCAGGCTCTCGGCCAACATACCTTCATGACAAAAAGAATTGGGCAGAAATGAGATGAGACACTATTTTGACAGTAACAAGCATGAGGACATGCTGCTTGATGCAGTTAAGTTAGCTTGGCTGTTTTGAATATTTAGTTATCAATCTTTTTTAACTAAAAATCAATGTAACTTGTACCAAGTTATACCTTCTGGTCAGCATTCCACTCTTTCCCCCCATCATTGTTAAGCTGTGTCTTCTCCCCATCCCTCCCAGGGCAGCCAGCTACACTGTCTCATAATTTTGGCAATGAAGACTCTCATTCTTTTGACAGCTGCATGGGCAGATCTGAGAGTCGGTCATCTAAAATAAATGCAAAGGTGCCTGGACAGAGCTCTTAAAACAGCTGTTTCCTGCAGAAACCTAACATCTGGAATAAAATCCTTAAAATGACAAAATCTTAGACAAAAGAGAGTTAAGTGCTGTGCTAAGTAGCAATAAATACAGACCTAGTTGCCTATAAATCTTCTTTTAGATCTGCAAGAAGGTGCAATATGTGCATGTTGTATTTGAGAAATAGTAGTCTAGATTTTTCCCTCCTTCACCTAAGAACCCAGACTCAGACGTTTTGATTTGTGAAGAACCTGACATACCCATAAACACCCAAAAACCACCCCAACCAAATTTAAAAGCAAACAAACAGGCCCAGGAGACAGAGCAGTTGTTTAAAGTCTCATACCAGATGGGTCGAGTGCGGTTCACAATAGTGCGGAAACGAGGTCTGACATAATCATAATATCCACTGTTTTTGTGCTCCTCCTGACACCAGACTAGATCAGCAGTTGGATACTTATCAAGCTCTTCTTTCAGCAAGTCAAAGGGGAATGGTGAGATCTGGAAAAGGAGGGTAATAATTATCAAGGCCTTCTCTTATATGGTATTAGCCCATGGTGAGTCATTACTTTTCCATGGAGAGTGACTCATATTTCTCTAATTGATTTAATGCTCAGAAATGAATACACAAGTATTTTATAGTTGTATTAGTATGAACAGAAGTAGGTTGTAGTCCAGACCACCTGCACTCCTACAGCTTTTTTAGTAAGTAGCGTAGTGTGTCCTTAATCAATGAATGACAAAATAGCTTCAAGTGCAGTATTCACAGCATTTAAACCTGACTGCATATACAAATTTAAGGTGCTATCATATTGTAATCGTCACTTTGTTATGTTGTTCTGGAAAAATCATCAAGTTTTCTGGATCTCATTGATGTGTTCCTTCTCCACAGGGCCATGAAGGATTAGAATATGTCTTATAAGATGCTAACTGCTAGAAAAATGCTATCATTATCTACTCCAGGAGAGGTGTCTATTTAAAAGCACAGGAACCCCCATCACCCTGTTTTCTGAGATCAGGGAGCTCACCTGTTCAAGTCTGGTTATAGCTACTTGTTTCTCCAGGTCTTGGTTCTTTCTCTCTTTTACAAGGTCATAGTAGACTTTTCCTGTGCACAAAATCACTCGCTTGACCTCATGTGGTGCCTGAGCTGCTGGCCCATTCTCAGGAATCACACGTTGGAAAGTGGTACCTAGTTGGAGCACAAATTAGAAAAAGTGTCCTCAGTGGACCTGACATTTCAATAAAGCAGCCCAAGAAACAGTCTTTTAGTCCTTTACTGAGCAAGCAGCAGGTTGCAGCAATCAAAGAGTTCTCCTGCCTGTCTGGTCCTACTTTTCAGACTGGTAACTTGGCTAAAGTGACTTTCAGCAGTTCTGTTTCAAGAAGTTAGAAGATTGTTAATAATCTAGTCTTTCACCATACTTAATAGGCAGAATCATATCAACAGTAGGCTCTTTTTCAGCTTTGTGCTGTGTATTACATCTTTACTTTTAAATTGATTAGACAGTTCAACTTTGCTTCCAGTTTGGGGTTTTTTTCAGAGAATCACCTGAATACTCTCTTCTTTCCAAGATTATCTCAACCATGTAACATTCATACAGCTTTACAAATTTCAGAATATTCTATAAAAACAAAACACATATCCATAATGCAATTAAATCTGGCAACTGCAGAAATATTTACCCAAGCACATTACTGCTGCATATTTGATTTAAACCTCTGTTTGAGAGCTAAAACAGCAATAGTCAAAGCAAGAATTAGCACAGAGCTGAGCCATATGTATAAATGCTAATGTACAAGTACAATTTCAGATGCATATCTTCACTGCTACCATCTCCCAGGAGTACAGTTTGCTTGGGATGCTGGAAGAAGGAGTTGATGGTCTAAAAGATCCTTTTCTTTGCTCTCATATATGATTGAGTAGAATTATTTCCACATTAAAAAACTGCAGGGTAGCAGACAGCAGCTCAATCCCTATTCTGAATCAGCACACTCACTTATCAGGAGAATAAGCTCCTGTTTTAATCATTTATCTTGGGGAAGGAAAGCAACAGCACAAACATATCAAAGAAGAACTGATTTATGTCAGAATTATCTTGTCCCACTGAACAGCAGAATTCATCATTAAAAAAGACTGAATCTGTGCTTCATTGGGTCAGCTGGAGTCAATCTTCCTCTCTCTCAGCTTTCTATTAAAAGCAGAGCAAAAAGGGCTAGCTGAGAGTCAGAAACACTTTATTACCTGTTGTCCTCTTCAGCAGAAACATGAAAATATGCCAAAACTCAAAGTTAATTTGGAGTCTGGCCACTACTGAGGTTAGCTTGAAGTAGAGGGGACTCCCTAGACAAAGTGACAAATTTTACAGAATTTCTAATCTGACCCATTCTACAGAGCTTTTAAACAGTAATAAAAACAGCAAATGCCTTTGCTTGAGAAGCAAATTTTACACACTTAGAAAAATAATATAATACAATATTTAAGCACACTTATATAGTGTAAGTTGCTTTTAAAAAACTGAGCTGTTGCTTTCTTCTGACAGCAGTCAAGACCCTCACTGGAACTGGAGATAGACCAACACACTTATGTCCACATTATCACTCTGAACAGTCACTTTAATCCCTCACTCATTACATGCCACTGCATTTCCTGATGCCACTCCAACACAGTCTAACCAGTGCAAGGTAGGACAAAACCACTGCAGTGTTTGGTATTCCCCCTGCAGTCACTGTGTATCTCTTGGTGCTGATGGCATGCCAACAACAGCTCTGAACTCACTGATCTCACTTTAGATCACTGGTGTGACACAGCAGCCCCAAACCAAGCATTGTAACAAGAACTGGGCACATTATTCTTCCAAATGGGCCCAGTGTAATTACAACCCATCCCTCAGTCATGGGGTCAGGAGGCATGGGCAGTACAAAGAACAACTACATTTTTATATGAAGAGAAAAAGAGCAGAGGGACCTCTTGAGGGGAAACTCCCTGCAGAGATAGGAATGCACTTACCATTAAGTTTAAGGGTTAAGGTTTCAAGATAAACCTGTTAAAATTATGAATCTATATGTGAAAGCAAATTTTTCAGCAAAAGTCCCTGTTAGCTCTCACCATGGCAGCTCCACAGGAATTATGCCGAAAGAAAAGACAAAGTGCAGAGCAGATTCTGTTCTTCACAGTTTGACATGCAACTTGGTATAGCTAATTATTCCCCCACAATACTTTGAGATGACCTACCAGACACCATTTCATCAAAACTGGATTTAGCTTCTGGATGCCTCAGCAGTGACTTGGGTGTCAAAACAATCAGCTGTAAGACAGAAATTTTTCCAAGAGTCAGGAGGTGCTTTATCTTCATTACACTGCAACATTTGTAACACTGTGCACGCAAAAACCACAAACTGAATATGATATAGAATAAAATAGTATGAATAGCAAACACAGTAAATTATTTTTTTCCTGTTTTGAAAGCCATAAAAATTTCTAAATTATTCAGAAAATTTAGGTAGCCTACTCCTCTTACAGGTTCTCAAAACTCACTGCTTATACTTTTTTTCTGACAACAAAATCAAATCACAGGCTATGAACCAGTAAAACATTAAGCAGTTGTATCTTGGGTCTTTGAAGTTCCAGCAATTAGACATGCAGATGACAGTTCTGCAACCTCTAAGCTACATCACTAATATCTTGACAAGCTAATCTGAAGATCTGCATAGCCAGATGGAAGCAAAGCTGAAAATCAAGCTTTAGATTCATAGTAAATCAGAGCTGAGATCCTTTCCATCATACTGGCAACTTCAACCTGTGTTCAGTTAAGGTTTTTCACCAGTAATCCTCATTCTTTTCAGCAGTGTGTCATACGCAAAGGCCACTCCTTGTCTGAGGGCTAATTTACCTGGAATAATCAAGTCCATTAAGGTAACCTTACCGGCTTTCTGAATGGCAGCAAGATCTGCCTCCGGAGGACATGAAAGTAATTGGCTGGAGTTGAACAATTCACCACAATCCAGTTGCATTCATACAGCTGGGAAACTTCAAACTGCTCCGTGAACTCCTGTGAGAAACATTAAAGGCATTAGAAAAATGTCTCAAAGATCAGATAAAAGGTATGAAAACCATCCTTCTATTTCTGACTCTCAGCAACTCCCTTCCTCAAAAAAAATTATTTAGCGGCTCTCAGCTGAGGTTGTTTTATTGGCTAGGGAAGCATCCCTACAAATCTTTCCTTTCTGTTTCTACTCTTCCTAAAAATTTATGCAAATAAGCAAGAAAAGTTTCCATTAATTCAAAAAAGATGGGAAGTCCAGGAAGGAAGACTGAGGAGGACTAGGACATTAGCAGATAGAAGAAACAAAACAGAACTGCTTTGAAAGAATGTTAAACTATAATTCAATTTTTCAGTGTACACTTGGCTTTCACTCTCTTTCCCATCCTGTAGAGCTGTGTACTTTATCTGCAGAAGTGAATGACCAATCTATGAAAGCCTTAGTCCAATCAAAATTAGAAGTTGCTTATTTTCATGCTCCTAGCAGTACAATTTAGCTCCACTGCAAAGAGCCAGGGTAGTCTCACTTGACCTCCTTTAGAAATTGGCTAGAGACACCTATTTACAGTGCACACAGCAGTAGAAACAAGTGGGACCATTGGCCCTGAGAACAGCCATAAAAAGATCATGCTGCCAGAGATTAACTGTATTTGACCTCAGCTTTGTAATGAGCAGCAATGCTGCTTACTTCCATTACTTTTACTGGGATCAAGTTAAAGTTACACCAAGACTTGAAGCTAAATCCTAACCCGCTATACCTAGCTAAAAGGATGCTAGTAACAAAAAAATCTCTGGGACGTGAAAAGCAAGAAAAGGACAAAACTACTTACTGGATAGGCATCAGAATCATCATTACTCATCTGCAGAAACCTCTCAGGTCTGGCTGATGAATGCTCTGGACCCTGGTAAAGGTATCATTTAAAACAATGTTAAAGAGCCAAATGAACAGTAAGACATCAGTCTAGAGTACTCACTGTCCCCTCTGCACCAGCTGTACACCTGACCCCCAGCCAAAGGCATCAACAGCAGCAGTGGGAGAGAGGACACAATTCCTCATCTTCTGTTTTCATAGAGGTTTGGGTTTCACATGTATTTCCAACATTTCTACCAGCTGCAAGTGATTTCTACCCTCAGACTAGCTGCACAGTGAAGACCAGTGGAAAGGCAGTGGTCCATGTCGGCATAACAATCACCTTGCTAATACAGAGCAAACAGCAGCACAAGGAATGTCAGGAAGAGAAGCACTGGGTGCCTCAGAATACTGCAGTGAGTCACTCTTTGTGCATGCTGAACAGGACAAAGTTACCTGCTGATTACTTTTAGCAACAAAAGCAAGCACAGGATCTGCCCTACTACTGTTCACTGTTCAGTACAGGACCAAATACTGAGATGAATGCCTTAGCTAAAATAGATCAAAATACACACACACATTATCTGCCAGACTAACCTATGATTAATTTCTGCCTCCTCAGGAGATATTTTATGTTCTGTCATTACTGAACACTCCCATCCACTGTCTCACTAGCAGTACCCATGGCAATTACTTGAATTGCACAAATGCTATTAGCTCCATTTTACATTAGCAAAACATGCATGCTGGCCACAGAAATTATTAGGAATAATGAATGTCACAGAATCTGTTGTTTTTACTTTTCATGTGCCTGTTTATAAAGGATAAGAGAAAGCTGTGAGGAACGTGAGAATGCAATATGTTTTTTTATGTATTGCTATTGCTGACAGCATTGGCTTGTTCAAGTGACAGGTGCCCTAAGAAAGGGCTTTAATTTTACACTCAGCTGTTAAGTATTTTAATCCACAGACAAACTATTACACCTCTCAACTCTCTCCATGTCTCCTAAGCTAATAATGATCATAAAGAGATTTCTTCATTATATGGCTCACATAATATCTTCCTGTGTTGAAATCTTAATACATTAACTCCAAAATCAGTCATTATTCTGACAACTGGTAATCCCCCTTGATTGAACATAACATCCTTCCTAATTCCAAGTGCAGGATTCCAGATCCATAGGAGGGACACAAAGATGATCTGAGGACTGGAGCACTTCCCCTATGAAGACAGGCTGAGAGAGTCAGGATGGTTCAGCCTGGGCAAGAGATTGTTCCAGGGAAATATTTTACAGCACCTTACAGTACTTAAAGGGGACCTGCAAGAAAGCTGGAGAGCTACTTTTTACAAGGTTGGCCAGCAATAGGACAAGGGGGAATGGCTTTATGCTGCAAGGGGACCAAGTATAGATTTGATACAAGGAAGAAAACTTTGCTGTGAGGGTGGTGAGCAGGTTGCTCTGAGCAGCTGTAGATGCCCTGTCACTGGAAGTGTTCAAGGCCAGCCTGGATGAGGCTTTGAGCAGCCCCTGGTCTAGTGAAAGGCTCCCTGCCATGGTGATCAGTAGATGGTATTTACAGTCTTTTCCAACAAAAACCATTCTATGACTCTGTGATTCAGTCTGCTTCATGGACTAAGGGAATTCAAAGGAAAAAAAACATTCTGTTGGCAACAAAGGTATAATACAAACAGCCTAGGACAGTATCACCACTCCTTTGAATTCTGCCTCCACTTTTGAGGTGCCAAATAATCTGGTCATAGACAGGAAAGGACCTGAGAGCAAGCAGCAAAGCTGCACAAAACTGTGGTGCACAGTAGCACTGGGCATCATTGTAGCACCTCTTCTGTTCACATCTGTTTGCCGTAAATCAAATCCATGCAGCAAGCATGGCACACACAGCACAAAACCCAGAGCTCCACAAGCACACTGCAGGCAGTACACTGAGAACAGAGATGTTACCAGCAAACAATTACAGGAGAGGCAGGTGAGGCTTTCCCATCACTCACACACTGCCCCAGCAACAACCTCAGTCCAGAGCCTCAGTGTTCACATCCATCTTCAGTTTCTGTGCTGACACCACCAATCAGACTGCCAGCAACCACTGCGTGGGATGGGGTAGGGTTTATCTCTACTGTGACCACCTATCCAGTGAGACCTATACTGAATCCATTTGCTACTTTCAGATGAGTCCCCAAGGAGCCATTAGGCTGCAGAGTCTTTCAATCACAGCCAACTTGCCTGTGAATGCATGACCTAGAGGTGAAGGGATCCATATCCCATTAAGAATCCTTCCCCAAATCATCTTGTCCCCAACACTGTAGTTATAGAAAGACTAGTCCTCCTCTAATGAAAAGGTCCTCTGGGAAGATAAAACTACTTCAGCAGCCTGGTGGGATTCTTAAATATTCCAAAAACAGCTGACACTAGTAGCAAAATAAGCATATTTCAGAAGACCTGTACAAATATTCTCTGCCAAGTGGCTATGGAAAAAGAAAAATTAAATGTATTCTAAGTAGCAGAGAACCACCCCTTAAGCTGAGTGCTTCCCTGCAGAGGACCACACCTCCTGCTGAGGGCTCATTCAGGTTGTCCCCTCAGGATACAGTTAAAAAAATTAATTTATCAAAACCCTTGTGAACAGCATCAGACCCGTTATTCTTTAAGCACAATTGATATGGAAAGCCATTCATAAGATATGAATGCACCCCAATGTATCAGGACAGAATGGAAATAACTAAATTGTTCATGAGAATAGAAATGACACAGTTTGAAGTGAAAAGGTCTAAAGCATTTATATAGATGGAGATTGCCACTGTGGCACAAACTATGCTTTTTAAACAGAAAACTAGAAACACACATGCAATAATTCATGAAGGTTAATGTATTTGAAAAGGAGAAAATTAACCTTGCCTGACATGATGCTCATGTAATCTTAAAAATAATTTTAAATATTTGAAGAATAATTCCACTAATGATATGAACTTCATGTAACTTTACACATAGTGTGTACCCACACCCTTTCCCTCTAAGACATTGTCCAGTTCCTCCTACTAGCCATCAAAGACAGTCAACAGCTAGTAGAAACATTTTCCTTTCCAGAAAGAGGGAGATTTCTTATTATATCAAAATTAAGGTCAATGATTTTTAAAGACATTTTAAACTTGCTTTATATCATTTCATAGCATGAGAATTTAGTGCAGATTTTACAGAGATATACTTCATGCAAAATAAAACCAAGCAAGCACTCTCAGATATGTTTTTTTTTTTCTTATTGTACACTGAGAATGCAGCTTTCTGGGGAAAGAAGGCAGTGTCTTAGGGAAAGATACCAAAAAAGAGAGGAAAAAAAAGGAAAAAAATGGGGGAAAGTGATACATGCCACTAAGAAGGACATAAAGCTAAGAGCTCAGAAATATTTCTCAGGGTTTTCTGGCTTTCAGCAGTCAATCTATCTGCATTCTTCTCATAACACTGAGGCAGCCCCACATGCTTAACAGTGCCTTCTTCCCCTGGGTCCCTATCACCCCTGGATCCCCAGGCCACCTTTGGCTTTTCCAGCTGCAGAGAGGGCACCGCAGCCAGCAGCACTCACCATTCCTTCCATCCCGTGTGGCAGGAGCAGGACGATCCCGTTGTGCCGAACCCACTTGGCCTGGCCGGAGCTGATGAACTGGTCTATTATACACTGAGCCGTGTTGTGAAAGTCCCCAAACTGGGCCTCCCAGCACACCAGGGCATTGGGACTCGCCATAGCAAAGCCAAGCTCAAAACCTGACAAGCAAACAAGTAGGAGAAATAGAAAATCAACAGATTTCCCAAAAATTCTGTTCATTCCTTGCTAAAAATTAAAAATAAACCCAAAATTACAGCATGAACTGGATTTTTAGAGCCCCATTATAAATCATGCAGTTTTCAATAGTACCATTTCCAAGCCTGACTTCAATCCTTCAAACTTTTCCTCAAACACTTCAATATCATAGTAGTTTTTAAACAAATTACACTCCCTCCATCTGCTCCAACTTTAGTATGTTTCCCTAAGAGCTCACTGCTATCTTCTCCTGTAAAAATGCACTTACGGCCCAGTTAAATGACTTATTTATTAATTTTAATATTTCCAGAGCCCTATATAACATTGTCTTTCTTTCCTCCTCTCATACGTAGATGATAAAGAAAATTACTGGTGACATCAATTTTCAGCCTACAGACATGATCCCAGTCTTCAGATCTTCCAACAAATTTGAATATAACAGCCGCATGGCAAACACATCTGGGACTTGGATAAAAAAAATCCTTTCTGAGGCAGGGCTGAGGACATTTAGGTGTCTGCTTCAGTGTTACAGTATTAGACCTCTGTTCATATTTTCCTTTGACTCTTTGATATAGAAGAGGCTGAAGTGCTGAATGAATACCTGTACTCAGGCTCTTCACCTAGAGTTTGGAGTGATTACAACCAAAAAGGTTAAAGCTCTCAGTAAAAAGCACAGCTATATAGCAGTGGTCTGGGAGTAGAGGTTCTGACTGAGGTAAAACTGATTCAGTATACACAGAGAATAAATATTTAATTGATAGATACATTTCATGTTGAAGCTCTACACAGAATATAATGATCTGGTCTCAAATAGGGAACTCCAACAAGGAGTATTCCCATTGAAGCTTACCCCAGCAGATCAACTAACTTTTGGGTCTTCACAGTCTACTCCTTGGCAATTCCAACTCAATTTTTCATTTACCATCCCCATGGCAAGAAATCTTTGAGTCACTTAGCTTTTGGACTACTCATCTCTGAACACTCCGTCCATGACTCCAGCAGATGCTCATGGTCCCACCAAAAAGGCAACTGATACATTAGAGGCCAAAAAAGACTGCAAAGTCAGCCAGCCAGCCCTTTGTCTGTGAGTCCCCATGACAGGTCATCACCAAAGAGAGTGACTTCTTCCAGCCTTGCCTTTGGCCTGACTGCCTGAACAGCCTTTCCTCCGTCTCTGGCCTCCTCACTTATATAATTCCATGGTTCTTAACACAATGAAAACAGGGGAAAAATTTACACAACTCCTTCAATCATATTCCCAAAGGTATCTGAAAAATAAATTTCCCTAGATAGGCTTGAATCCCATTCTAATTTTACACAAGCTTTAAGAGACCATTTCTACTGATTGGGTGACATGGTTGAGAAAATATGCAATATGTTCAAGACTTATTTGTACATACGCTGCTCTCTGTAAGGGTAGGGTAATCTAGCTTTTAGAGAAGCACAAACTGAGGTCTTGACCACTCAGATTTATCAATAATCAAACAGTGCTTTTCAAAGAGTACGAACCTTAGTGCATACTTAAAATTTGGTCACAGCACGCACATAATTCTACTTCGTATATGAAAGATCACCTCTAAAATTCACAGGGAAAAACAAGTATAATTTCTCATTTCCTATCTTTTTGACAACTTCACACTAATCTCTACAGGGTAAAAATGTTCTAGGTGAAGCTGCATCAAAAAATGTGATCTTAACACAGATACCATTTGCAAGCTTTCTGATAGCTATAAAAATGTCTAGGAGAATAGATCCAAATGTAAGCTATACATTCTGATTAGTATTTTGAGAATAATATTGTTGAGACTACTATTTCATGGCACATATGTCTGTGGTATACACATCTTTGGTATACCAGAACTCAATTTTCCACCAGGGAAATGGCAATGAGAGTTACTAAATTAAAACTATTCCAATCATGATTTTAGCAGTGGAATGGCTTTAACTCTTGACAGACTAAGGAGTCTGTGAAGAATTACTACTACTACCTTCATGAGGAGAAAATTGCTTAAAGAACAAGGTCTAAACTGCTAAATAAATTTTTTAAAAGTGCTGGTGAAGAGAGCTCTAGACAGATTCAAGGCAAACAGCCCAGGAGAGTGTGAGGGGATTGTTGGGACACCAGAGTCAAGATCCAGGAACGTGACCTGAAGTAGAAAGTCTCCACCATTCTAGCAATGGGACATGAACTGCAGGGGAGCAGGTTCCTACTCAGGTCCCTCACAAGGGCTCAACCTCAGAACAGAAAAAAAAAAAAAAAAAAAAAAAAAAAAAAAAAAAAAAAAAAAAAAAAAAAAAAAAAAAAAAAAGAAACCAACCAAAAAAAAAAAAAAACCAAAAAAACCCCAAAGAAAAACTACAGCAGAAACCTTGCAAATTTTATTGTTTGCATCTGCAGAAACAAGAACTGAACATTTCATTTCTTTTAAATCCTGTGCAAATATTGTGGGTTTAAAATATTAACTCTTACACAGCTAAAACCAGAGAGAATAGGTTGAAGCTGTGAGGAAATCTAAGGCAACCAGGCAGCAAAACCACTTTCAGAGAATGTCAGGTAAGGAATCTGCACACCCGAAGGGTGTTGGAGAGCAACCAGCCAACTCCAAACAGCAGGCAGCTGCTCAGGGCTCAGAGCACACCAGGGCACAGGGAACCAGGAACCAGCACAGCAATTTGGTAAACTTCTACACTGAGGAGACAGAGGGAAGAAAAATACACCGCACTTGATTAAGGCTGCAAAGCTAATGTTTCAATTGCTGGAGTTCATTATGGTCCCTAGATGACAGACCTAGCAGAAATGCTTGATTCTTTTAGTCCAGTGCCTGCTGTGCGCCCTCACTGTTCTTCTGTCACTCTGGCAAAGAAAGAAGTGTTGTCAAGCAAAGTGGCAGCTTACACAGCATACTGTGCTGTGTTTTTCCCCACAGCATTTTCATCACTGTCATAAGAATAGCCATTTTTCAATTAATCCAAGCAAGGCTACAGCCATAACTTAATTCAATATGATTTTAAAGTGACTTAGGGCATGAATGTTAACAAATGGTTAAAAGGGCTTACCAGTACAAGGATTTTATGTCAGAATAAAGAAAGGTTCAAAGACAGATTTTTGCTATCTTTAATAAAAATTCTAAGCACAGTGACTACAGAGGGGGTAGTGCATGAATCCTTTCATAAACCCAAACACAGCTCAGGACAAAGTGAAGTTAGTACCCATCTGACTCTATTAAACAGGGAGACTGATGCCTTCCCAGAACTCCATGCAGATGCCATTGATTACTACAGTCTGTCCTAGTTCCTAACACAATTTCTGACAGGTATTTGTATTTGCTACCCCCAACATTAAAAATACATTGTTCTGACTGAGCAGTAGTACTACATATTTCATCCGCAGTGTTTATTGCAAAAAAAAAAAAAAAAACAACTTACATTAATACCAGTCTTCTTCCTTTCATCTCTTACTTAAAACTTGACTTTCCCTTGAAAAAAAAAATATACTCCAAGTCCCATGGTTCAGGAATTTCCTGAACCACACACTAGTTCCAAGTTTATCTTGCCTGATATTCCTTGAAAGCTCCCTGTATGGAATGCCCCAGCCCAAAATCTCTCAAAGGCTGTATTGAATCTGACAAAGAACCTCACCTCTTGGCTAGATTCAACACTACACAGTGATTCTGAGGGCCATAAAGAAAGACAGGAAATCCTTTCAAGTATTTAAAAAATGCTGAAGAGTTATAATGGAGCATCTGTAAGTTAATTTCTTTTTCCTCCTCTATCCTAGTCAGCAAATAAGTTCAGACAAACATCTTTTGCTTAAAGGACTTCTCATGCCCATCACTTACACTTCCAGATATTCAGTTTCAGTACAAGGGAAAAATTATAGTAAGGCAAGTGGATGCACAACTAAATTTATTATAATCTGGATATAACTAAAAATAGTAGACATAGGATGTCAAACAAAATTATCAAAGGGTAATTAAATACTCTAAATTATCAGAGATTATTAAGTACTCTGATTTAATATTGAGGTTACACCCACTCCAGAGCTTCCTGTGGACAAAACATAAGCAGTTTTCAGAAATACAGTTGATCAAGACTGCCTTTATTTTCTTTCTAGGTGAAATCAGTCTTGAGTATTGTTTTAATGGAGCAATGGCTCCCCAGGTGTTCCTAAATATCTTGACTATAACTTGGTGCAAAGCTCACAGCTCTGAACAGATACCAGCTCTTGTCTTATATACCTGCCAAGGAAATAATCTGTAGTTATATCATGCTGGGCTGTTTAACCCATTTTTACTTAGCTCTACCTCACAGAAACTAAGGAAATTCCTAATATGCTTCTGAGATGCTGCATGTTAACACAGTCATAAATAAATTCCTAACACTTTTTCACCATTTTCCCCCTTTATATTATCTCACAGCTCTCCCTACAACCACCAAACACTTAAGTGTGCTAATTCTAAACTGCTTCTTTTAACAGAATTAGATAGTAGAAACAGCAGTTAGAGAAAATAAAGTGTTCAGGGGTTTTGGGTCTCCTGAAGAATCAATTCCATAACTACAAGCCTTCACTTACTCTTCCATGTATTAAAAAGGAGATCCAATGATGTTACCAGCCAAATAAATATAAATTCTGATAGCTCTTCTTTGACTCACAGCCTTAACTAGAAGAGACATGTTCACACACTGCTGCTTATCCTAAAACTGTCTCTCTATGGAGACAATACACAAGAGTAAACATGTTGGAAAAGGTCACTAAATAAATACCAGCAAGAGAGAGAAAACTTCATTATAAAATCACTTAAACACAGAACCTGGCATTTTTAGCTTTAAAAAAAAAAAACCAACCCAAAAAACACACAAAAAGCCACATCACTTATCAACTATTTGTACCAATTTAATCTCCTTTACTGTTAGAAACCATCTTGGACATAAGGCATTTAAAGTTCTTGAAAATTGAAAGCATTAATATTATTCATTTTGAAGAACCTGTCATCCCATCTGCTGAAGCAGAAGTGCACAGAAATTGTATTCTTGTTTTCAGCAGACAAACAAAACCCTATTTTACCATATTGCTTGTATTCAACAAATGTTGTCAAATCAACTTTCACCTATCTTTTGCTGGAAAATGTGGAAGGGCAATAGTGAGCAGGATGAGATAAAGAAAGAGAAAGAAAGAGAGCCCACTTGGTGAGTTTTTAAAGAATGGAATTGTGACAGAATTGCCTTCACACTGTATCAACAACACTAGGCTTCCTACTGAGGTGTTATTTTTGAAACAAAATCAGATTTCAGTCATATCCAGACATTTGTCACTTCTTTTAGGATGTAATAAAACCAAATCCAGAAACCTATGAGCCACTTACCTACAGGTTTTGCAGCAATACTGTAAAAAGGCTCAAATTAAGAAAAACCAGAACACACTGTGAGAAACAACAGGAAATTAGAAACAATCATTCTCTGAAATTAAATTCTTCGTTTTTATCTATGCCAATTATTTTTCTCCCATTTATACACATCCTTGCTTGCACTTCCCTATTTAGAGTTTACCTTTACATGTTGGTGACACAAAAAATTTGATTCTGTTCACACTAATTCTGCCAAAGAGCTAACAAAAATACCTAAAAAATCTGCTCTTCAGTCCATGCTCCAACTGTACAATTTTCTACCACATTAATTTTAATACTATTAGCAATATGTAATATGTAGCATTGCAGCAATGACTAAGTAACCAAATATTTCTAGAACTTTAAAACAAGCAGCTATCAACTACCACCTTTATCTACTATGATGTTTCAAGTTTTTCCTTCACATGATATTTTATTATCCATAGAATCAGTAATGCTTTTGATAAATTATTAGATGTATTTGTTTCATGCTCCACATTCCTCTTGCCACCCTCATCATGTCAGAGTAAGGTTATCCATTCACTGTAGCTGAGGGTAAAATAATTCACTATGATTAATGCTATCACTAAAAAGAATTTGTTTTCTTGAAATAGCACATTCAGAATAATAGTTCAGATAAGGCCAGGGCGGATTTTTTTATATCTCTATGACAAAGTGTCTCTGGTTTTCTTGTCAGTTCCTCTTAAGAAATCATCAGGTACACATTCCAGCACTGCCAAGATCAACAATAGCAGATAGATGCTTTTAACCAAATCCCAGAACTGTAAAATGCTTGTTTATGGGAGGCTTGTTTAAGGGCTGCCAGAACCTGAGAGGAAGAGCTTTGATGCCTGTTTCATATATGACCATTTCACAGCTTTTTTTTCCCCCACATTCTTTTCCTTGTTGAGCTCTGCTTCCTGTCTGGCAGCCCTGGCAACCCCATGGCAGATGGAGACGTACCTAAGACCCCGTACTCGGAGAGGGAGCTGTTGCACACGGTGTAGGGGGCCTGCTGCTCCCACAGGTGATTCATGGGAACACAAATTCTCTTGTCAACTTCTTGATCATGAAGTACATGGTGACGATGGCTGCAAAGAGTTGTTGAAAGAGATTTATTAGCCAAGAATCATTTTGGGCTTTAACAGAGCTATTTTTAAAGCTAAAGCATCAAAATTGTGTTCTGGAAAGCAAGCAAGCACCATGGTTATCTCTGCTACACACAACACCCTGGTCTGATTGAAACCATGGGAAATACAATCACATGTCTAAATACAATTGCTGCACTGTAAGAACTTTTACTGACTATCCAGGCTTCTCAAGCACTCAAAGAAACTGAAAATACCTCGTCGGTAGTAGAAATGGGGAACAAGAGAAAAGGATGGGGAAGTTGTTGCTATCAAATAGAATTATTAAAGAAACTCAGAGGAACAAAATTGTTATTAAAAACATGTCCTTTGCCTTCCTCACAAATTCTAATATTTTCCTTGAAATAATTGTTGTTTGTCTTTAATGGAAAAAAATGTCATCTTCAGCACTGAAACTTGAAGGAGTTGTATCCTTTTTCCTGCTCTTTCCACTCACATGCACCATTTACGGTTCTCTAGAACACCATTAATCAGCATTAGAATAGGGCACCAAGGAATACTACCAAAGCAGAGATGACTGAAGTAATTACTGCAATCCATTAACTCTCTGAGCAGACTGAGTGAATCACAGCAATATGCCCAGCTTTACAATCACTAACATAAGGCCAGTTATTGTACTGGTAACAATACTGTGTGTTGTACAGCTGCCAACACTGAAGTCTGACTCTTTTTGCACTTCCCTTGCTATAATGAATGCTAGCAAAAGAGCTATGAAATTTATCTAGAACTCAACAATGTAAAACCAGAAAAAGATTGAACCTTTGAAGAGCAGCACAGGAATGGAAGTAGAGAGAAAGGGGGAAATTCACACAACAGGCAGCTGTTTCGCAGAAATCATTTTTGCCACTGTAATTTTGATTTTGTCATTAAGTCAACAACAGAAAACCTAGCTGTTAAGCTTCTTGAGTACAAAGTTTTGTGTTTCCTTAGCAAAAGGTGATTAAGATGAGCAGAGATGCCTAGTCAGAAATATACAGACATGAAATCTGCACATCTGCAAACCAGTACAGAATCAAGGCTGTCCCCCCCGCTTCCCTCTGTCCTAAAGAGTTTGTCTCCAAGAGGAGAAGGGGTCTGGTGCAGCTTTGTCTAGCTTCTATGTATTGATAGTGTTGAGGACCGAAACAGGAAGAAAAGAAGCCATCACATGGAATATTGAAAGAAAGAACTATTTTCTAGACATCACTTTAGAAGCTCCAAAACAGTGAAAGCACCCCATCATGTTGTTTTACTATGGAAACACAGTATATTCACTTCTTTCCAAATTCTAGCCAATGCCATACCAGAGAAGACAGGCACCAAGATTTATTTCTCTCTTCTGCAAGCATTCACAATGAAGCACAGTGCAGCATTCACCCCAGGTATTGGCATTATATCAAAGGTTTCAATTAAATACATCATTAACATTTTACTCTACAGAAAATCAGGTAAGGCAGCAAACTGTACATATTTTACCAAATGATAAGATCCTGCCTTCATACATGCCCCACAGACATTAAAAGTCTTAGTACAAAGGACCTTATTTCACTTTAAAAACCAACTGGCAACACATTTGTTCACAGGGTACACAAGCTCCAAGCAGTCACCACTGGAATCTAAGAGACTCGGGATCTGCTGCAGCAAGTATCCTCTGGAATACAACTGTATTTTTTGTTAGAAAGCAGGGGAAATATACCATTCCTGCTTTTCAGCAAGAGAAGGTAGAAAGTGTCAAAAAATGTTTGTTCTGGCTTAAATACTATACTTTAAAATGCTGCTTACAGATACACAGGAAATTTGATTATTATTGACTGCAAGAATCTATAATATTCAGATTAATGCTGAAGAAAGAGCCCAAACTTCCTCCTCCCTGCAGAAGACCATATTCTTTAAACAAATGCCAAGTTATTTCTTTAAGTGTGGGACTTCAACAGTTTTAACAACATCTAACAGTTATCTCAGTACTGACCTGAAAGTACCTCTCTCCACATCCTGCCCACTCAGTCGGACATGGATCCCTTCTTTGAGCACAGAGCCAAAAGCCATGTACTCTGCTAAGGCCCAGTCAACAAGCCTGTTCTTGGTCATTTCCGAGCGGGCTTTCAAAATCCGAGAGAGTCCTACATCAGAACAAAGATCAGAAAGGAATGGATCTACTTCAGAGAAATTCTCTGTTTACACAGCATTCACCATTCTCCTTCCTCATTGCCTAAACTAACCAGAGATACCAAATCAGGTCTACAAACTGTTTTTCTAGAACTGAACTGCTGGCAAAATAAAACAACTTGCTTCCCAGCAAGCAGTTGTATAATGTTCATACCTTGCTTTTGAAGAAGAAAGTAAGGTTGACTGTGTCATAAACTACTGAGGACAATTAAAAAGACCCGTGGTGAATTTATTCTTCCACAAGATTTATTTTTACATCTCTAACACCAAGTGCTGTTTTATAAGAGACCAAAAACAACGATTTGGTTTCTGAATTTTTGTCTTCTTCCTTTCCTCATTTTCTCTTGGCATTTGTCTTATTGCACTTCTGAAGATGTTACACAGTGAAACAGGATGGATGGATCAATACTATGAATATCATATAAACAGAAAAACTGTAGCAGCTGCCAATGGATTTTTCAGTTGGCAACCAATAGCTGACTTTACAGTGAAGATTTTATAACCTTGTGAGCCAAAGCACAAGCTACAACACTGTCATTTTCAAAGGGAACAAAACTCCACAGCTGCACACAGGTGCTTCAAGTTTTGAGGCCACAAGTCTCTCATATTCACTGTCAATTGATAGCACCTTATTTTGCTGCACTGATACTTTTGGTAAGCTTTCCCAGATGCTATTTTCCCATTTTCCCTTTCCTTACTTTCCACAATTTTACAGAAAAACACCTCATTTTCTTTCTACATAAAACTCTCATTGAAATTGCCTCATTTTAAGTAAAAAAAAAAATCTTGAAAATTTTCCCATTAGAACATACTAAACATTTGATTAAAAACATAATATTCCAATTGTTTGTTGCAAGACTATATGATATTAAGCTTTTTTATTCTAGTGAAAGGACAAAGTACTTCAAATTTCTGTTTCTCTCCCCTTGTTTCTCCACAGATTCCCTCTCACAGCCTTTTAAACTGCATAAAAGAATCTAGCATACCATAATTGTTTTGAACCATAAATCTACCTTATATACTGGCAAGTGTTCCCTAGTGTCAATGGTTAATCAACTCACTAACAAGAGACCAATTTACCTTTTTAATTAGAATGTCTAGAATTCCATTTTATTGGGTAACTACAATTTTTAATTTATCAGTGTCACAACGAAGTGCACAAATGTGTAGAAGAGTTAAATTTATCCATTAATTGTATCTGCTCAACAAGCCTTTAATTAATAACTGGGAATGCCCCACCATCATTACTTGTGTTTTACTTCCCAAAGGAACAGAAACACATAGAATATTTACAGAAGACAAACTTTATTCTTTGATGGATGACTCCAGAAAGGATTAGCTTTCTCTGTTTAGAGATTTTAAAGAGAAAAACTTCTCTTTATACCCTATTCTTAGTATGTATCCTACAAGTCAACAAAAGAAAAAAGATTCCTAAACAAAAGGTCTCCATGTTTCTCCATGGAATGAGCAGGTAATTGATCCTAGTAGTTGCTAGATTTCAACCTGCCCAGGAAATAAAACTATCTCACAACTCTTACACAGTGTTGGGGCTCCCCAGTGAGACAGATACTTACTGTAATAGATGCCAAAGTGAGGAGTGAATCTTTTCAGAACAAAAGATAAGACTTTTTCGGAAAAAAAGCAAGGACTTGAAGAATTAAAGGAGTTATTAACTTAAGGTTGCAAAGAAACTTCTACCTCACACAAAAGAAAATCTATTTTAACAAGGTATGAAACAGAAGTGGTGTGATTCTGAAAGAATATTATGCTGACAACAAGCAGCAGGAACTTAAATGTCACATTCTCCTCACCCATAGAGTGGAAGAGTCAAAGTAAAAAAAGTCACAGGCATTTTCCTCTTGGAGAAACAGTCCAAGAATAACTTCTGTGCAGAAATACAGAAATGGAGCAAGACACAAAGCCAGGAGGAGACACAAAGCCTTCAGCTGACCTGAGTGTATTTTGAAGTCTTTGACTGGCACTGAACTAGCGACGTTGCCAATGTGAGTGAGCAGCTCCTCCGAAATGCCCGTCGGGGGACACGACATGCTCTTGGGCTCTCCATCCGCAGTAAAGAAGCCTGCCAGGACAAGAGATGGAGACATGGTCAAGGACTGTTTAGGAGATATGTATATCACCTACAATTTGTTCAACAACTCAAGTGACATGCTAAGCAGCAGACTAAGCCCAGTTCTTCCCCTTTTGCTGGGAAACAATAATTTTGATTACATGACAAGAGAAGTTGATCTTGCAGGCACACAATGATCTATATTGTTCCAGCTTTCACTCCCTGTGAAGTCCTACTATGTGGGCAGAGGCTGCCAATAAAAGGCATATGGCACCTCAATCCCTCAAACAAAAATAAACAGATGAATAAAGAACATGAGACATACTCCTTCTTCCTGACAGCCCAGACAGTTAACAGTATAGGAAAAACACTTCCCTGCTAAACTGGAAAATGGCTTTTTCAAAGTCACAGCTTACTTCGCACATTTTTTAACAAAAGCATTTATTTCAAGTTGATCTGGCAGAATGCAATATTTACTATTAACAGGGGCAAAACAAAGGTCACATATTCCATTTTAAAGGAATGTTGTCTGATAAAATCTATTTAAATCCTAGATTTTGGACTCAAAATAAAAGCACATTTGGGTAACACTAGGATAAGTGAAAGTACACTCCTTACCAGGCCAAGGTGAATCCAGCCAGTGCTTGATATGAAGGATCTTATTATCCTTAGATCTAGTATATGCTTCTTCACATATTCTGTCATATTTTGCAATTTCTTCCTGTAGAACAAAAAGGTTTTAAAATGGATAAACATAACACCCTCAAATCTTACAGATGATACTTCTCATTCAGCATGACAATAGCAGCTATTTAACTCCATGAGAAAATTTTCATTACAATAATACAAATAAATAAAATTCATTTTATCTGGGATCAAACTGCCTTCTAGAAACATGCTTACACACATTACTCTAAACAAATCATTTCATTGGATAGGTGTTACAGTGGAGTGTACCAAGAGCTGAAGCTGCAAGCATTGCTGTTGAATGAGACACAAGTGAAATACCAAATATAATTTACAGTCATACTTCTAAGATCAAAATCATCCAGCTCTTATACTCCTGGCTACAAAAGCCACTAAAGTTTGGAAAAGAAGGTTCCAAAAAATTAGTCTAGCAAAGAACCTACTGGCCACACCTCTCAATGGCAACAGATTGAATACCATATTCCATAGAGACAGAACACTACTGCAATGCCTGTGTTTCAACCCAGAATCACACTGAAGTTATTGAGCTAGCTAATCTTTAAAGGAATTAGCAGTGTTGAGGTCAGTCTGTGCAGCCAAACATCCATCCAGGATCCTAGATCCAGTCACCAAATCCCACGGTTCCTCTACTGGCACACTCTTTCAATAAATGATTCAGGAAAGCTGCTTCTGCATGAGCTGTGATGCTTCTTATGGATCACAGAATGCACCTACCAAACTGCTTATTTCTTGATCTGCAATATCACATCACTACACCTTCTCAGAAGGTCCAGAAGGTTTCATCTGCCCTCTAAACACTCATTCTCAAAAAAATTCATGTAAAGGCCTAACCAGTTTAATACAGACACCAGACTCAACACTTCACCATTCTGGAATACTTCAAATGATCTCTGAACTTGGTTGAATTCTTGCAAGAAAACTAAAAGGCTAAATTGATTCTATTTCATCATTGCTGGACACAAGCCTGCCAAGGTTATCAATATGAAGCTATCAACAGGAGTGTTCAAATACTGTCTTGCTGCTGAATCAGGGTTCTAGAGATGAAGAACAGCTGACAAATGCTTCTATTTTCCAACGTTCTCATTTAATCACCTTCTCCCTCAGAACTGAAGCAATTTTTAATGAGCAATATATTTTAATTACTTCAGAGCACTTCCAGTCCTTTTGCTACAAGAATAGTATTTTACATGAAAATCCAAGCCAAATTGAATTACAAATTGTCAAAGGTAAAGACTTATCACAATAAGGAAGTTCTCAAGCAGGCAGCATACAGTGACAGTTGGGTCTTTCTCCTTACAACTCCTTAGATTCCCTCTAACTCTCCTGGCATGTACCTCAAATTCCTGCAGTGTCACAGTCCCATCTGCAATCAGTTTGTCAGCATACTTCTTCAGCACTGGCACCTGCTTATGGATCTGCTTGTACATCAGAGGCTGGGTGAACATGGGCTCATCCATTTCATTGTGACCTCGCCTACGATAACAAACCTACAAAGGGAAAGATTGCTTCTGTTGATAAGGAAAAATGTAACATGGAATATTTCCATTTCATAATTTTACAGAGATTTTAAGAGATTTATTGTATAAAAAACATTCATGGCTCTTTGTGGGCTTGTTTATTGCTTGGTTTTTTAAAATGAGGAAACTGAAGGCCTTTAAAATGAAATACATTTCTTGACTGGACCTTCTAAGCCACAAAAAAATAAAGAGCAGTACATAATGCACAGAATGAAAAGTAAAGAAAACCAAGACTTACCAAGTCAACCACCACATCCTTATTGAAAGTGTTTCGCCACTCTGCAGCTACGCTGCACACGTACATCACTGCTTCAGGGTCATCAGCATTCACATGGAAAATGGGAGCATTGACCACACGAGCAACATCAGTGGGATACGGGGATGAACGGGCCATACGGGGGTCTGTGGTGAAGCCAATCTAAAAATTCCAGAAACTTCCATTAAAATAAATTAGCATCTCCTGCTAACTCTGTTTTGAAGTTTGCATTTAATAGCCATTCACACAGCAACAGCACCAGCTTTTCATTTTGGCTAGCTAGCTTATTTTTGCTCCCTTAAATACCAAGGCAAGCCTAATCCAATTAAGTATTACAAATTGAATGGAATATACATGGGTGATAAAATATTATCTGCTCAAGAGCTGCTAGATAATAGAATAATTTTCAGAAATATTTCAACCATTCTAATAACCAGAGGGGGCAAGGAATACAGTTAATAACAAACAATAAAAAGAGATAGATGGGCAAATATTCAGCAGAGAAGTTGATTGCAAAAGGCTGTACTTGTTACCTGGTTGTTGACCACAACATGAATAGTGCCATTTGTGGTGTAGGATGGGAGGTCACTAAGATGAAAAGTTTCATAAACCACTCCTTGTCCTGCAAAGGCAGCATCCCCATGTAATAATATGGACATAACCTAAGAGGGAGAATTGTACACACATATCCACACATATATTAGAAAGGAAAACTGCAATTTGAGCTTCTCAGCAAGATTTCTTGGCTCCATATTTCTGTTGTGCTTATAAAATAAAACAGTAAATACATAATAAACCATAAATTTCTCAGCATTCTGCTGCTTTTTCTCAATTTGCAAAGGAAATAAAGCTTTAAGCCTACTTTCCAAAGTTACTCTTGAGGTCTCATGTCAGAAACCATACCTAGTTCAGAAGGTGATATATCCCTTTTGATACAGAAGGAAAAGTGGATGATTCTGTGATATGAAACTACTGGCAAACTCTTTTTATTTGAAACACCAGGAGAAACTACCATTAAAAGTTACTATATTAAACAATCTTTACCTTTTTCCCCGCTGTATCCCCTCGATAAAACTGTTCAGCTTTTGTTTTGCCTTGCACAACAGGATCAACTGCTTCCAAGTGAGAAGGGTTAGCCATCAGGGACAGAGTGATTTTCTTGTTTGTTTTTCGGTTGATCCTCTCATGGTACATTCCCAAGTGGTATTTTACATCCCCAGATCCCTAACAAGAAAACTCAGGAATGTCATTGAGACCTGCTCCATCTGATTCACTAGGCCTAAAATTTTGCTTCAGCCTAAAAACTGCATCTGGTTACCTGAACATCAGTGTGCACTATGGGTTTGACACCATCATTTCAAACAGAAACACTGTTTCTATTCTATTATCTTACTGTTGTCATCAAATGTTAGATAACTATTTACAGCATATTAATACTCTGTTCATTCATATAAAACAACAAAAAGAGATGCTTAGAAGTTACAAGATCTGTCAAATGGAACTTACTTATCTACAGTCACTCCTGAGAAACCGTCTGCATGTTAGAAGTATAATATAATTCTTAAATTTGTTACAAAATTTCACCAAACCATGTTTCTTAAACTAGAAAAGAAGGCATTGCAGCTGATAATGCTGATTTCATAGTAACCATGACCAAAACAACTAAAAACTATTTTGAATATTGACCTCTCCATACAGATCTAATGGAAAAGCATCTTACCTCATCAGCTGCTTCAAGTTTGGGATCAAACTGACAGAAGATCTGCTCCAGCTCTTTTCGGATTACATTAGCCAATACATTCAGCCGACCTCTAAGAAAATTTCAAACACAGATATGCCTCAAAAATGGTACTAAGAGAGTCAACAGCATAAAACTTACAAAATCTGTAAACCACCCTGTAAGAAATTTGCAAATGTTCTCTTCAAACTTTTGAACCTAAAACCCTTAATTTAGCTCTTCTTCCCATTACAAAGTTCCTCCAACGCATTTCCATGGACATTTTAGATCACCCTGTTATCCAAGTGCATTTTGTAGCTAACTAGCAGTCTTCAAATAATCACATTATAGATTAGTTAAAACAGACTGCAAAACTAAGTTCAAAACTACCTCACCAAGCCTTCCCAGTTCTAGAGATTCTATGCAATGGCAGAGATACCATGGCTGCTGCCACATTTGCTTGCAGCTTCAGAGTACACAGAGTTTCTCTATCATTTACTTTTGTAGTCTGTAGCCTCTTACTGACAGGCATTTGCTACATTTCTCATTACTTGTTATGACTGACTCTTCCTACCTCAGCTTCTCTAATATCAACTTTTTAAATAAATTTCTAGAACCCAAATCTTGTCCTGACACAATAAGCCCGTTTGTTGGGGTGTTTCCATTGGCATTACCTATGAGGCATTCCCATTATAACATATTCAATTCCCATTTCACTGGATTTATCAATGATGGTCTTAAGTGCAGGAATCATTACTTCACATCCTTCCAAACCAAATCTCTTTTCGGAAGACCACTTGCGAGCAAGGAAATCTTCAAATCTTTGCCAAAAAGAAACCAAAAAAACAAGAGAAATTATTTGTACCAAGCAAATACCAATAGTTTACTATCTTACAGCAAATAAAGTTACATTAAAGGTTTTAAAATATCAGTGAATACAAGTTAGACACCTGTGGAATTCAGTCACACATGGGGAGACAGAAGAAAATTCAGTCTTCTTTCTTCCCCATCTGAAAACTATTGACTAGGACTTTGAAGCAATTAAGGGTCCCCACCTCAGACAAAATTAATTTCCCAAGTTAAACTCTGTTCTCATGTACACAAATCTGACCTCTGGGAAGGCAGAGTGACAGCAAATTAGTCTCTTCTATGAATTGAAGAAAATATAACAGAGAGCCTCTATTTTCTAATACCTGTAACAAAACCAGAGTAGAAAACACACCTATTCCATAGGTCTCATTCAATAGCAAGGCTTCTCAGACTGAGTGATGTAACACTTAAGAATGGGCCAAGAAGCAGGACACTGCCTCAGCTTCAGCAGCAGAATGATGTCAATCCCTGACAGCTCTAAGCTCTTTCGTCCTTTAATGCATTTGGGCCAGAGGCAATGTGAGTGGTTAAAAAGTACCTTTTAACAAACACTGAAAGGATTATATATTGTAAAGCTTAGAGATAGGAAAGGCAGAGAAAATACATCTCCATGAAAGTAACTGTATTGGTTACATCATCTGTGCAGTACCTCACCTCATAACAGTACCATAATCCATTAACACTCAGCTTATTCCTCCCTTAGAATCCTGACATTTAACTCTTTAGACTGAAGTACTAAAGGCAGTGATATGAATTGTTACCAAAATTTCACCTAGCTCAGCCATCAATACCTTACAATCAATCTCACTTCATTTTTAGATCTTTTGACATAGAATCTTAACCAAAAACTGTGCCTATACAAATATCTGACTCCTGTGTTTAACAAAGGACATATACACTGTTTCAGATTGTAGGGACTGAAATAAAACTTGTGTCTGAGAAGCCTTGTTCCAGGGGTAAGAAGATAATTCCATCTCTGGGATCACAGTATTTCCGCACAGATAGCCCCAATGGGAGCAGCCAATAAGCTATTGTCTAATGCGCTTTCTTTTACTGTAGATACTAAAACTGCTGCTGCCAGCTCATGCAACAGCACAACACATCTTGGCACTTCTCAAAATGAAAAGGGCAGAAAGGACTTAAAATAACACACCAACATTGTTCTGACACGTTCTGCAACAGTCTACAAATCTTTAGCACATATATATATATTACTAGTGTGTTGAAACAACTTTTTCCTAGTTTACCTCCTCAAGCCAATGAAAACATGGCCAGGCATGCCACTAAATGCCTTTTGAGAGAACAGAACACTAAGTCACAACAAAGACCCTGACAGATTCCTCACAGCACACACTTTCCTTTGATAAGGCAGGCAGGTTACCTACACCCTCCTGTACTCCAGATTTCAGTGAGGCTGTCTCTCCCAACATCAGCAGCTTGCAGGTCCCCCAGCTCGCAGGCAGCAGGCCCAGAGCAGTGTCCCAGCCCAGCCCAACATACCTCATGGAGCGCACCAGCCTTGCCAGCAAAGTCCTTTTATCCTCGTTCGTGAACTTCATCACACCCGGCGTCTCAAACTTCTGACGGATCCACTGGCACTGCTCCACGTCGTTGATGAACATGAACTCCAGGCCAATGTGTTGGCAGTAGGTATGCTAGCAAGTGAAAACACCAACAGAGAAGCTCTAGGAGCTAGTGGGCCTAATATATTAGTTTCACAAAGAAATATCCTCTTAATTGTATCTTCTGTTATTCTCATGAAAGCTACCACATCTTCCTCTTCCACAATATCTCCCCCAAACTAATTCTACAAATTAATAAATTGTTTTACTGAATCTAGTTTTGTGTCACAAAGCTTTCTCTACAAAGTAACATTTCAAAAATTTTAAACTGGAAGATTCTCATCTCATGCTACACTCCAAGTAGGCTAACAAACCTGCATTACACTGACTGGCACATTTCAACTAACTTAGTGCTTTTCTTACAGGCATGTACACTCTACTTTAGATGCACCAGCAAAGATTTCAAGTAATTTATCAAAATTTGTGTATTTTATCACAACTTTTGTAAATGTAACCTTAAACCAAGAAATAAAGACAGTGAGAAGACACCTATGAAGTCTAATGCAAATCATCTGATAACTGTCAAGTTTCAGAAACCTGGAAATGTGAAAAAAAATCCAAGCAGCTGAGAGCAGAGAAAGGACAGGGAGAAATGCAAAGACACAGCAGAAATTTTATCTTCTTGTTCATTTTCTAAATTTTATTTTTCTTACTTTAAAAAGAGTATTTCTTTAGAAAAAAATATTTCCAAAAGATTTAGACATCAACAGAAGTAAGACCTACTGTGAGTTTGAGACAAAATTACTCTCAACATAGTGTATATTCTCTACTGCCTTTAAGGAGTTGACTGTGTAAGGAGTTGGTTTTTTTTCTATTGAAAAAAAATCCAAAGCTCTAGAGACAAGAGGAAAGAAGAAGGTTATTTCTCCTTAACATAAATCAGTTATTTAAAGCTTTTCTATTTTGCAATTGATTTTGTCCTTTTATTTGAACATTACAATTTTAAGGATTATTGCTACACAGATAAGCTAGAAGTGCAAAAACAAGCAAAAAAAACCCCAACCAAATATAGAGCTCAAATGCACAACAAAGATAATGTGGTTTAACAATTTACCATGCCTCAGCTAAGCCAACATAAAAGTCAAGCAACTGGGAATATCCAACAATGACTCACTCACTCAGCAGTCTACAAATACATTACCATCCCTATTTGCTGCCTTGCTATTTGGAGTTTGCTTCTAATTATATTTATTCCTTCAAATTGTTTTTTCTTTGAATTATTTTAGTTTTGATGACTTCCTGTGGCATAAACCACATCACCTGTCAGATAATGAAACTCTAGAAAAAAGACTGGGGATGGAAAACAAGGACCAACACAGTCTACAAGCTACAGCTGGGCTTTCATGAATTTGTTACCCAGCCTTCATATTTTTCCTCAAGTAAAGGTCTTACAAGAGCGGGGGATCTGAAAGCAGCCCCTGAATGCACAGGTGTTTTATCTGTGTTACAACACTTAAAAGACCATTTCTAAAGGCTCTTCTCCTTTTAAACAATATCAGGTCTTTCCAGAACGAGGGCTGGCATTAATATTTTACCATATTCCCCTCTTATATTCATCCTTAATCTATGTATTTCCAATATCCAGCTAATTTCACCAGTGGTGCTGCAACCTCTAGAAATAGTACAAAGGTTATTTTTAATGTTGTTGGAATCTTTTACATTCGTTATAATATTAATAACAACTCTATTAACAACTGCCAAATGATAAGGGGGTTTTGTGACTGACATCTGGAAGAAGTTCACTTTGGTTTGAATGAAAACAATCCCAAATGAATCATGTTCCACTGACCTCCAGGCGTTTGATGATCTCTCGCAAAGACAGACTGTTCTCGTTTCCTCCTATGAAGGTGGTTGTTGGCAGCTGAAAGACTTTGTCCAAATCTGACTCATGCAAACCATAAAACCCTACAACAGGAACGTTATTGATTTGCAAAGCAGAACAGATGACAAAAGGGAAGCCAGCATTGTTTTTCAAGCCATGGCAATCATATTTAATACAGCAGTATTAAAAAAGAAGATTAAAAATTGAAAGCATGAATATTCGGAAGGTATCCATTAGTAAAATGGACTTTAGTCTGGATTTTAAAAAGTGTTTTCAATTAAATAGTCATTACTTAATTCTTTCTTAAATGCTCAAATGAAACAACTGAAATTAGAATCATTCTAGCCTTTTTTTATATTTTACCATATTAAGACACATGTAATCAATTTTCCACACCACTTCCTACAGCTCACTGTTAATAAAATAACTGACTCTATCATATGCAGCAAACAAAAAGAATCCCTCCTCACCGACAGAACCAGTTGATTGAAAGCATTTTATATTAATAGACAGAGCAAGAGAATGCCCAACAGTTCAATAAAATGCTGTACAAGGACTCTGGAGAACTTTCAAGGTATTTCTATTCACTCTCCTCTTTTTAGGGAAATTAGTTTGAAATAGGTCTCTAATGACCTGTACAGCTCTAGTTCTCAGGCAGTGACCCCTTATAAAATGCACAGACTTCCACACCCCTACCATCTAAAACTTATTTAACCACACTGATCCATCTTGATTTGGACACATCTAAACTGAGAATATTATTTAAGAAAATATTTAACCTTACTACTATGCAGTTTCAAAAGCCAAAATACACAGTAGACAAGACTGAAAGACTGGTATCAATGCAAGTTAAAGGCCTGGTGTGATTCAAGTTTAACTTAGACCTGTTAAATGAAGGAAGGAAAAACAGTTTCTTATAATTTTAAGAAGCAAAGGTACAACACTTATAATACACCACAGTAATAGAAACTTATATAAAAATTAAAACTACATATGTTCCTACACATGTAGAAATATTAGAAAAATTAAAAATAACATCTCCATTTTTAATTTTGAACTCTTTTATCTTGGTTCCAGAGAAGCTGTGTAGACAACCACTTTAACACTGGTAAGACAGCATGCACATAACTCTTAAATCAATAAACTGCTTAAATATTAAGTTACTTTTCTGAAGATAAAAGCAAAGCAGCAAATTAAGGATGAAATAATAACACCACAAAAGATTTGAGAACAGGCCACAGGACTGCATTGCTACGACTTTTACTATACAGCACTGTCAGTAAATAACACTTTTTCACTTTAAAAATAATACAATTCAAAATTTAAATTTTGGTTTTAATAAAAATTTCAATAACATATTAAAAATTTCAGACCTGGCATGGCCAAAAAAAGCATAAGTACCATTACTTCTCCTTTTTGGTATTGTAACAGGCTTTTTCCCAGCAGGAGGGGAGAGTGACACGGGGGATGACAGGGCCTTTAGTGTCATTTGAAACAAAGCAATGCATTCATTTTTTCACTTTTGCTGACTTTCCCTTAGACTTCAAAGGCTCTTGATGTCCTCTCATGCATAAACCAGAACACATACAGAAGTGATTTGGGCACACACAGAACATCTGTGCTTTGTACCACAGCATCACATATTTACTGAAGCATCACCTCATGTTTAAAGAGATACACTCTTACTGAATGCTGAAAGCAATTCTATACTGTGCAGTAGGTACATCTCTAACTACCTGCATTTTTAGAAGCAACTCTCAGAAGAAATTTCCTACCACAGGTTTCTCAAAAAAGAAAGCAAAAGATGGGACAAAGAAAATGCACAGAAAAATCAAATATTAAAATAATTTTTGTCCTGCCAAAGACTTTTTGTAAGTTTCCTACTTAGAACATTCAAGGATAGGATTTGAGATCTTCCTCTATTTTAGCTCTGCCAAGACTGGGTTAGGAATTTTGTTTCCCCTCACAAACTGAAATCTCCTCAGTTACACTCTCAAACACATCCTCCCATCTCATTCAGAGGTCTGGCATATTTTTCCTTTGGGCATGAGCATTTCAGTGGATGCCTTCTGATCAGTCACACCACCCTGTACTAAATTATCCGTAGAGAGTAAAGAAATGTGTACTGACATGCTAGTAGTCACATAAGCTCTAAATTAATTATATTTGCTCAGTAAATGTCTCATTTGTTTTCTAGTTGGTACTTTTCTTTGATTAAAGCTGACAAACTTCAGAGAGAAGACCCAATTTATGTAAGCACCCCTCTAGTCTTAGGCATCCACTTCCTTTATATGATCAGAACTGCTTCTTTCCCTACACCAGAAATAGAAAACAGAGAAGCAAAGAGTAGGTATGCTTACAGTAAAATTAGGTAGAGGGTGTTTTATTTACTTCCTGCACTATATTTTCTGTCTGATCAAAAAAGCTTCCCTACACATCAAGGAAAAATTGATTCAGTGTCTTCATCAAGTAGAAAACCAGATTTTAAACTAACCAGGTAGAATGAAGAGCAGAGAAAAATCAATCAGGTGTTTTTTTATTCAAGTAGAGAGAGGCAAAGAAATTGATCAGTGCCAATTTCTCAGACACAAGCCCTCCTAACAATGAGAACAACCTTTGCAAAAGCAGACCCTAGTGCACTACACTCTTTTAGCAGTAAATTGATGTTTATAATAGAAGATATAATCACCCTTGAATTATATTCACAGGTAAAGAATTCTATGCTTTCCACATTTTCTTCTGTTAACTTCAAAGAGACTTCTTCAAGACATACATAAGGAAGTATCAGACATTAGATTCCAAATCTGGTATGAAATTTACCCTAAGTTCTCTGTCCAGTATCTTGTTTATTGCTTGGTTTCCCTATAGACTACCCTTCAGATGTCCCCAGTTGAAACAAGTTTGAATTGTAACGCTATAAGAGTAATTAAGATTATCAGAATGCATTAATTAGTATTCATTTCTGGTGTGGTTCAAAAATAAAATATTTAGGGGGTTTATAACAATCATTCTTTAGAAGATGAATTCACAGGAACTTCACCTGTGATCTCAGAGTAGAACTCCTTCATCCTGAAATTTTAGCCTCCTTACAGATGCTCAAGGGCTCTATGTCATGGTAACAGCAAGCAGAAAAGGCAGACGCATCCCTAAAAGTGGCATCCCTGCCCCTAGAGGGGAGTTGTAACTAGGTGATCTTTAAGGTCTCTTCCAACCCAAGCCTTTCTATGAATCTGTGCAATGTCTTATTAAATCATTTCAGTCCAGCGATACAAATGAGCATTTCAAATAAGAAGGCACACAGCTTACACACCAAGTTTATCAATTGTGGTAATGAGGTCAGATGGAATAAATGAATCCAAATCTGCATCCAGAATTCCAAGGGGATCCAGCTGAGCCACATGATGGCCACGGATCTGAAAAAGGAGGAAAGTAGAGCAAAATGAAGTCACCCTAAAAGTCAGACAAAGGGAAAAAGTCAGTGATATCTCTCCACAAGAACAAGAAAACACCACTAATGTGATGACAGGGTTACATGTTCCCAAGTTTTCCCATAAGAACAAAAAATAAGCATTATATCACTGACTACATATACACCTCTCTCAAAAATTACACATTACAACACAATCTTCTTTATGTCTGACACACAATTTAACTGGGATTACACTGGAGTTTTAGTAAAGAAGGCCTCTAGAGAGTACAATCTCAGTCCTTGGGTAAAATTAAGTAACTATGATAAGCCTGATAAGCCTAATAGATCTTTCCACTTGCCAATTCAGTCATTTTGTATTTTTGCCTGAATTCTCCTTTCTGCACCTTCAGTATATTAAAATAGAGAATTGCTGACTTAAAACAGATTGGTGCTGAAGTAGCTTATATTGGAAGTGAAGGGGTCACTCTTCCAGAGCTCTGCTACAAACAGACAGCATCTGACAGCACCTATTTTCATTCATGAAATTTCAGAAATTTGATCTGATAGAATTGATATTCAAGGCACTAAAGAACACAAACTGAATGAGGAAGTTAGCCAGCTTTCAATGATCAGTGTGACTGGTGTTAATGCATGCCACAAGTCGCTATAAACTAGTGAATTATCATATAACATTGCTACAGAAGAAATAACCATTTTTAATATGCCTCTTATGTGTGACTCTCATATACCAAATTAACTCATTAAAAGCTTTGTATAGATTAAATATATTAATAATTTCTCCTTATAATTTTTCTTTTTAACAACAAATTTGCATCCCTTGGGTAGAATTTCATTCACACTACTAGTATCCTAATTGTCTCTGAGAAAAACCCAAAATTATAGAGTGCAACATTAGCAGTGAAGTGCATCACACAGTAACAGAAGATGATTACAGTGTGGTTCATCAAGAAGGGACCTGTAAAAACACTGTTCAATTATTGCATATTTGCAGGAAAGTTTATAACAAAATGGTTTCCAGTCATAAGAAACCAGAAATACTGCATCCTTTTTGGAACTATCAGCTCTGTAAACTCAGCCTGACTTCTGTGATTTTTTTTTTGCATCTCATGAATCACCAGTAATGAAATTCTGACAGGCCAAATGATGCCCATAGCAACATCTGTGCCATCTGACTGTTTACAGCAGCACTAAGTTTATCTGACTGAAACAAAGCAAACAATTCTGTCTCAAACATCATCAACAGGAAAGAATTCACCTCCCTAAGTTACATCTGCACTTCAGCATTAATAGGAAGAGGAAGAAGATCAGCAGGAATGCCAAAACCCAGAAAGGCAGAGCAGTAAATGCTGTGCCATATTATTCCAGGAACAGTTTGGTCTTTAACTAAAAGACAGTATTATCCACAATATCAAGGCATTTTTTAGTAAGTCCTGCTGCTTTCACTGAACACAGAAAATAGGAACATCTGCAAAAATCAGAGATCAGCCTTGTGAAAATACATACAAAGAAAGTTTTCATTGACTACTATATGACAAAATGCAAGTACAGACCAGCAGAAACTAGACCTTGATTTCTCTGGCCTCACTTTTGTTAAGCACACACATCCCACTGAAAATCCTGCTTTCAGTGTCCCCAGTGCTCTCGCTTAGAAAAGCAATAGATTAACTGCCTTCTCAAAGTCCAACTCAACAGACTACAAAGCAGTCTACCACAAAACCATAAAACACTGACAGGTTTGAGAAATGAAAATTCTGTATCCTTCTCCATTTCATCTCATTATCAGGCAAAGGAAGGTCACAAATTATCATACCCTTTCAATACTGAATTTAGAGGGTACTAAATACCTTTTAAAAAGCAGGCAGTTGCCTTAGGCAATCCTCTGTGACTGTTTATTGCAGACACATGGGTGCCTGCCATTTCTACAGACATTTCTGTTCCATCACTTGACAAATACAGAGAGCAAAATGGCAATCCCTGAACTATTTTCAAGTAAATTGTGTCAAAGCAGCCTAACGTTCTCCAATTTTCTCTAATGCTTCACCAAATTTTTACAGTAAAATTGGTTATTTTCTGCATATCTATTTCTAAGCAAATTTCACATATTCTTTATATTCACAACCATTTCTACTCTTTTACAACAACCCTCCAACTCAATGGTGATAATGTGATGTGTACAAAAAAAGGTCTTTTAAGAAGCTCCTCTTCTCTCATGACACCAAACAGGATTTAAAATACTTAAGGCAGGGAGGAATAGATCTGCTCTAATCAAACTGTAGGAAACTTCTTGAGAAGTTACTAATTTAAAAAGTACTTGTGGAATATTTTGTCAAACACAGATCTAGTTTTATGGGTTGGTTATTTTTGGGGGGTTTCTTACATAATTTGTAAGCCTTTTATTGAAACTAAGATAATAAATGCAAGACTAAACAAAAATATTTAAACTTATTTGTCATTTGGAAAGCATCTAACAAAACCCACTGTCCTATTTCCAAATTCCTTCTTCTTCTAGAGAAAAATAAGTTATATTTAATTTCTTAATTTAATAAAAGGGCTAAAAATCAGAGTGTGAAACAAAATCAATGTTGATGAACAGACTCCATCAAAGTTAACCCAAACTCAGTACTGTCAGCCTCCCAAAATTCAGTTTCTGGTTAATTCAGTATTTCTCCTCTCTCTTTTTATCTAGAATCCTGCTCAAATCAGGAATCTCAATATTCACCTTAGATGTATGAGAGGGCAAGTGCATTCCATCATTTCCAAAAGAATGGCAGTAACATTTAGAACTGCAGTACAAACTTCCCAGAGGTGAAGACAGACTTTCACAAACCACTGTCTCCATAAAGTCCTTCCGGGCTAAATCCAACGATCAAAATCTGGTCTGTGGGTAATCTGAATTATGAGTTTGCAACCCAGAGGATCACCCAAGTCTGAATCCAGCACTTCCATGTTTAGACACTGTGCTGGAAAGAAAAGCTGTCTAGTTCAAGGCCTTTTGGATCAGAAGCAAGACAGTAGTTAACACGGGAATAGAAATGAGAAAATAAAAGGGAAGCAGGTTGTTTGCACAGAAGAGGCCTCCCCCAGCAGGCACTTACTTGGTATGCCCTTATCAAGGACTGCACAGCAAGGTGGTCTTCAACAGCCTTTTCAGCCGTCCCTGGTCTCGGGGCCAGGCCGTGGCTCTGCAGAAATGATCCCTTTCCCTCCTGCTGAGCTGGCAGATGGGCTGCTTGGCCAGCATTAGCACTTCGGAAAAACACATCCCAGGACTGCACACGTGTACAGAGAAAAGAAATATTTAAAACCTCAAACTAAAGTCTCAGCCAAAGCAGCTCTTTCAAACTGCAAATGGAACCTCACTGCATTTCAGTGTTAAACACTACTCAGAGACAGCAAAAAGAGCAACACTGGTATGTCCCAGTCTCAGTACAACTGTGTGTTTTATTTACACAGAACACTTTTCTTCTCATTTCTTACACCCAGCTTGCTCAACAGAAAACTCTGCAGCACATAGGACTGTAAAGCATCTCCATATATTATCTAATCACACAGCTCTTTTTAATTGTGATTTTTATTCAGGCAGCCAAGAGTGGGTACAATAAAACACTGCTGGTAAAGAGCTATCAAGCCTATAAAACAATGAACCTCAATAAACTAAATCCATCCCTTTAATGATACCTATAGAATTTATGGTACTTCAAGACACTCACTGATTGTGCTAAATCAGAATCAGTCCTTAAGAGCTTTTCTTGAAGAAGCTTTAAAAGCAATTAAAGTTTTTTTGAGTGAGACTTGTTCTAAAATCTTTTCCTCACCAGCTTAGGTTACTTTACCATGAAAGAAATTATGGGCTTGGTTTCAGGTGCAAATCATAATTTTAGAAAAGTACTTATCTCAGAAACTGAATCACAACAAACAAGAGAACCTTTTATTTCCTTCTGTGCTTTTACACAAGCTGCTTCATTCACATATTCCCAAATCTTGTTTTCCTGAACTGTTTTCATTCTGATGAGGTGGTCACTGTGCCAGGTTAGAATAGTATCAGATATATGAATGCTAACAGAGAGCAGCAGAATGGGACAAAACATGTGAGACACATACTCAGCAAAGAAGGAAGTCTCTGTAAAACACTTCCCTCAGCTGGCTAACTTCAGAAAACAAAAAGGAAGCTATTTAAAAACTTACATATCTTTGTGGCTGGCACAGAAAAATTGCAAGAGATAAATTTCTGCCAGGCTGCAAGCCTTGCAGATTTCCATTACATTTCAAATAACCAAGTGCCAGAAAAAAAGAAAAAGTCATCCAAAGCAATTATTTTTTTAAAAATAATTATTACTTAATATATGCATTACAGAACCCACAAAAGAGACAAAAGAATATAAGCACAGCATGACAGAGAAATATTTACAGAATCCTTTTTGCTTTCATTAACAAAAAGTCTTCATACTGAAATTTCTAAAAGCTCTAAGGTGTTCAGAAACACCATGAGAGGGGCAGCATAAAGGAGCTAAACATCACCCAGCCTCCCAAGATCAAGTTGTGGAAGTGAGGTGATTCATTGAACCTGTGGGTGGGAATCTCATCATTAGCATGAAGCCACTGCCCAGGAAACATTGTTTTAATGCACCCCTCTTCCTTCTTCATTCATACAAAGCTGCATCAATACAAATATAGAAAACTTAATCTACCACCCTGCTCTTACACAGGCTTATCTAAACTCTAAACATAGCCTGACTTTTATATGCCCCAACAAATTAAGGCAGACAGATAATGTGTGGTGCCCAGTTCCAGACACACTGATGAAGAATTCATTCCTCCTCCCTTCTCTTATTTATGCCTGTTTCCTATATTCTTCTTACCTTGACATCTTGGCAGCTACACTGAGATTAGAAGTCTGAATTTACATCCTATAAGTGGTCTACAAGAGCCTATAAGTGTGCCTGTATTTCACCTGGGATTCTCTCTATACACCTGCTTGGTCTGTGTTAAGAACAATACTGTAATTCCATGCCTACACAGCACCCAGGCCAAGAGTCTGGAGATCCCTGACAGTGAAAAACAATCATAATCCCTTCTTTAACTACTAAAGTTACCTAGATTGAAGAAATTATTTGGGCAATACACAGTAACAAATTATCATTAAACATTAAATTAGGAAATTCCTAACATACGTTTGGATCTATGACATCTCTCACCTTTGAAGTTTTAATAAAGAATTTGCTTTGCTTCTGTTAAGGTTTCTTCCTTACTTTTTCTAACACCATGATACATGATGATAATAACATAATTATTCCTTTTTTGAGTAAAACCTTTCATTTAAATGTAAAAGTTACCACAGCACAGTCCCACAAACAACTGAATGTGGTTTTAGACAACTGCTCTGCTAAGAGAGTTGTTAACAAACTCCAAATCAACTTGCCCAACAAGTGACATGTTTAAGGAGAATCAGCATAGGGCTCTTTCTTCATGCAAACTCACAAATATAAAGAAAATGTTTCCATCTGAAGATGTAGCCAGCTGAGACAGAATGGACCCAGACTATTTTTTCCTATCACATTTTTGAACTTATTGATTTGTTGGACAGGCTTGACATTTAATCAGAGGGGAGGGAAAATACATCATTTGGCTACAGAAAATTAGTTTTTACTAGATACACATCCATCAAAGCCTCTACAAATTTCTATAGTGTCTTTCAAGATTGATACCAGATTATAGTCTTCAAGTTCTGTGTATCAATGTCAGTCTTTGGCAACAGCATTTGCCATGTGACTGAACAGACAGAAGACCAGATTGCTCTCATTGAAAACCTGCAGCTTCTCAACTAAATTAGTAAAGTTCATCACAAAAATGGTAGAGGAAATTTATAATACAGAAATACATTCACAAAAAAAAAATACTATAGTGATAGATTATACATTTTCTTTCCTTCTGCCAGCAAAGCTATATTGTAGTTAGCCATTATTTTCTCAAGTAATATAACACAATTCAAGTGATTCAGTAGCAACATTTTACTGTCATATAATAAACAGGGTTGCAATTAGAATAACTAGTAACATATGTTTTATCTTGATGGTTTGGGGTTTTTTCCTAGTGCCATCACAATACTCATCAACTACAGTGAAGACAGTAAAGCCTTAGAAGACACACACTGAGGACCACTATATAATTTTAAAAAGAAAATGAGTAAAATGAAGTCAAAGCAAAACAATCCCCCACATCTTTTCCTAGTCCATAAACCAAGGAGGTGAGTACACACTCACAGCAGAACAGCTGCACACAGGATAACATGGCAGGCATTATGTACTCCATAGCAAACCATGCAGTTTTGCAATTAATCTTGTGATAGTAATAACTGAGCCTTGTCAAGCTTCTCTCTTATGATCTATGGCCCTGACACCAAGCTTCAAGGAGAAATAATGATGCCTTTTTCAGAGCACACGTCATTTTATTCTGATTGTTGTTTTGGCCACTCTGACGATAGGAAATTCAAAAGGCAAAAAAAAGGAGGAAATAATCTGAAGTGGATTTGTACAAAAGAATAGAAACTCTTTATATATATATATATATATACATTTTTCTTGATACACAACCATGATAAACACAGAAAGGAGAAATACTTTGGAATGTGTCTGCCGTATTTCAAACAGCTCTAAATAAGCATACGTGGGAAGACATGTCCAATCAAATCTTCTGAGGGGGAAATCAGTTCAGGAGCCCTAATTAATTGGAGTTTGTAAGTACAAGTGAATAGAGTATGAGTTTTAAAGCCCAAGAAAAATCAAGTTTTTTCATCTAATTAATGAGGAGGCACATCCCCTCTGAAAAAGGGTTATCTAACAAGATACATAAGGAGAAATAAGGTATAAAAAGGAAAATGAGGAAAGAGAATGCAATGTCTAAATGCATAAGTTGGTTCACTAAATCATGCTGGACATACCAAATAAAACAACACAAATGAGTGCCCTACAGAGAGCTAAATAATCAACACCACGTGGTGCCTCTTGTCATTATTTTCCAACACTTTCTCTCCTTTCCATACACAAATGACAAATGCACAACTTTACAGTCAAAATCACAGCACAAATTTTTCTACATTTTTAAGAAAACAGGGCGATTTCAATACTTAGCATTTTAAACTTGTTTTATGAAAGCTCAAATTGAACAATTTCTGTCAACAAAAATCTGGGGAAGCTATTTGCAGCTTTCAGCCAATGAAATGAGATGGTTTTTAAGAAACGAAAATTAATTTTGTTGATGAAACAAAGTAAAATTAACTGGCATTCTTCTTCCCCTCCCCTTTTCTCATAGGCTGTGAAAAAACTAATAATTTAGGCAAGAATAGCCATAATCCATTATTTCCATCCACCATATTCTTTCAAGCCTCATAAATCAGGGACAGAGTGAATTTACTTCAGTTTGTTACTGTTGCAAGTTTATTAAACACAGTTAACCTAGAAAAGAATTCACAGTTTTATAATCATGCTGGTTTGGGCTGGGGTATTTAATTGCACAGTAACTGGTCTGGGCTTCAAAAGGGGGTTGGCAATATAGAAACATTTTTGTTATTGCTGAGCAGAGCTTACACAGTGTCAGGGCCTATCTACTCCTTATCCCACCAGTGAGGAGGCTGGGGGTGAACAAGGAACTGGGAGGGACACAGTCAGGACAGCTGACCCCAGCTGACCTAAGGGATATTCCAAACAACATCATGCTCAGCATGGGGAAAAAAGAAGGAAGGGGAGATATTCAGAGTGATGGTGTTTGTCTTCCCAAGTCACCATTACATGTGCTGGAGCCCTGCTGTCCTGGGGATAGCTGAATATCTGCCTGCCCACAGGAACTGGTGAATGAATTGCTTGTTTTGTTCTGCTTTGCTTGTGCATGTAGCCTTTGCTTTCCCTATTAAACTGTTATCTCCATCCACAAGTTTTCTCACTTCCACCCTGCTAATTCTTTCCCTCATTCATGCATATGTGTGAGAGAGAAAGCACAAGTGGCTGCGTGGTTGCCAGATGGGGTTAAACCACGACAAAAATGCATCTTTAGTCACCTGGGATCCACTCCCTAGGCCACACCCTGCATTCCTCAGTCAATTCATTTATTGCTTGTTGTTCAACCCACAACCTGCATCACCTCAACAGGATCCATGATCAGACTGCGCTTGAGCTGCCAGACAGTTGGATGGCCTTTCGGCAGGATTTGTAGCATTTCTGCCTCCCGAGCCCCAATCCGTGACGCGGAGGTGTGCATCCCCCGGCCGCCTCGGTTCAGCACCCGGGCAGCTCCGGGCGGAGCGCTCCAGCGCTGCCGCCCCGCTCCCGGCTGCGGCGGGCTCTGCGCTGCCCTGCCCGCACCGAGGGCAACTCCCCACCCACAGAGACCACTGCAGGGCTTCCCAGCAGCAAAACGCACTCCACTGCAAAGGGGCTGAACCAGGAACCTCATTCATCTAAAAAGAAAGAAGCCAACAAAAAGCAAATACAATAAAAAAAAAAAAAAAAACAAGATGTCACTCCTTACGCAGGAGTTCATCCCTTCGGTATCCCCAGTATAAAAGGGTTGATATCAATCTACAGCCTTGCCACATCATGAGGATTTTGCAGAAATTCAGTACACCCACACAACGTGCTACCCCACCCCACACTGGTGGAGCTCAGCTGGCAGCTACAGGACAAGGGCTCAAAGTCAGATGAGACAGAGCCATTCTTGGAGAAGGTCTCTCCATCCCAAGCTCAGGTGTAAGATAAAAGACCTAGGATCAATCTGACATGTGAATAACAGTCAGTCTTCAGAGCTGGCACTGCATATGTCATCTTTCAGCAAGACTAAGTTCATGCACAACATCTAAACAAAAAAGAAACAGCTACAAAACCACCATTTTTCATTTCCTTTTTAGTTTCTGCCCTCAGCATGCGTCACTTCCTCACACGCTAGACAGATTATCAGATTAGAACAACAACTTTTAAGTGACATTTTGATATACATGCCTCAAGAATAAGGGAGCAGACAACCAATTTGGTAAACATTCTGAGCACAAGTCACATTACTTCTTGGAAAATGACTTGTCTGTCTTAGAATTGATCAGACTTCTCATCAACTTTTAAGTTACTATACATGTATCACCATAACAGAGCCCTCTTTGTCAGCAGAAAGCCTGTTAAAAAATAAGCCTATGTATTTTGTCCACAAGAAAGGATTTGGGTAATAGAGTTTTTAGAAAAGCAAACAAATGTCTATTGCCAAAAGAGAGAAGGAGAGATACAAATCAAAATACTTTTCAAGATACTTCAGAAGAATATTCTGACAATTTCAGATTCAGTTTTAAAGTTACAACTTCCATAGTTTAATCCAAAGACAACTGAACATTTGTCTTCTTCAGACAGTTTAGAAGTACCAACATCAACACATTATTTAAATATATTCTCTGATACAGCCTTAATATAAACCAAAAAATTAAATATATTTTATTTTTGGGTCTTCTTCTGGATGCAATGAATTACTTAACTGTCTGCTTGACCAGCATTTCCATGGAGGAATAAAGTTTCAGAGCAGCTGTCTATTTCTGGTCTGTACTTATCCTTCTTTCTGCTCTGCTCACCATGCCTGTGCCTCCTCTGTACTTTAATACTTCCAATATCACATCTTACACCAATCAATAGGTGGGAAATTAATTTCATGTTTTTCATTTCACACAAGACCTTTTCCTGAACTTTTTATTAAAAAGTAAAAAAAGTAAAAGAAGCCTATTCCATTCTTAGCCCAGCATTACAGTCAAGTTTTAGACTTACCTTATGTACACTTTTAGGGTTTTCAAGCCATGCATAGTACATTTCCTCCACATAATTGGAATTACTCCCACTCAGGGATGGCTCTGAGGTTCCAGATGAAACATACCGTTGGCCATGTAAAAATGCCCTTCTGGCTATATCCTGATTTTCCAGAAGTTTAAAGCCATGCCTCTTCAGCGTAGCTGCAAACAACTTCAGATGACTCATGTTTGTTTATTAGCCAGACAATCCAAGTCTATTAATAAAATAAAACCAAATTTAATCAGCAAAAGAGTCAATGAATTGCAGACACATTTCATTGTCACAGCAAAAACAGAGGTTTCTGGCTATGGTGCCCTAGTTCAAGGCTGAGGCTTAGGCATGAAGCTCCCTTCAAAGCTACAGCCACAGCAGTGGAGTGGCTGCTGCTGGCCGTCCCCACATCAGCCAGCTCCTCTCTCAGCTCCTGTACCTGGCAATGCCACCCTGCTCCCTGTTGCAATCACCGTTTGTACCGCGGGGCCCCGCTCCTGGAACAAATGGGGTGTTAATCACTGACCTCTGCAGAGCTCCTGGCAACCCCAGCTGCTTTCCCTCTGTTTGGAAAGCTGTGGCCTTTTACCCACTCAGGCTGGGCTGGGGTCAGCAAACAGTGTCAACCACAGGTGCTGTGGAAAACAAAAAACTGCTACCTCGAATTTCTGCCACGAGTAATGGAGCTGACTAAATAATTAGAAGTGTTAGTTAAGTGTTCATATTGACATTAGCCTTCAACCAAACAGTGAAATGCTGAGAAAAGGCTCACTTTAATGTGTTTTCCTAACTGGTGACATTTATCCTGTGCTTCCAATGATCACTTATGGGCTTTGTAACAAGGACAGCAGATTCCATGCAATTTTTAATTGAGAAATTCAATTTTCCAATTCAGTTTCCCACAATAAGGGTTGAATCTTCTGAATGCTGAGTACCATCAGCTCCAGCGCTAGTAAAGGGAATCAAAATAAAAAAGAACAAATGCATCTTAAAATTAGTCCCAAAATAATACACTATTCATGCTGAAGTTGCTAAAACTGCAAAGAAAGAGCAATAATGTGAAGAGAAATAATTAATTTTGATTTAATTTTTAAAATATTTAGAAAGCTATAATATCACGAAGGATAAGGTATTAATTTACAACAAGTAAAATTCAGATTTAACTCCAAAGTGTCTCTCATTTGTTTGGCTGTTCATCTGTGGAAATAATATATTTGGTCCAAGGTAAAACCCAAGGTCTTTTGTTGCTTGGTGTGACTGAAAAATTGCTAAAAACAAAAGTACTGAGATGCCTAATGAACTTCTAAGTTTCTTTTTAAACAACAATGTTATTTTGAGTAATAGAAAAACTTTTATGCTACCTATTTCATTTTCTTCATCTCTAATTCAAAAATAGATACTATCAAAAAACTTCATAAACATTTTCTGTATATAAATCCCATTAAATAATTTCTCACAGTTTCTCTTCTTATAGCCTCTTTTCAAAAAACAAAATACATGGTTATAAAATGTCTAATTTTTTAAGGGATAGGAATAGCTATATTTTTCATCATCCAATTTAAAAATTAATACTGATCCTTAAAAAAAAAAAGAAAAAGGGCTCCTACTAAATAAAACAGCATTACTGCTTGCTCTTCTCTGGCATCACATTTTTAGCTCAACATCTATTTTAAAAACTGACGACTAGATCCTTTTCTTAGTCACTACATTAAGTATCATTCCAGCAGTGAACTGTCCTTGATCATACCAGGTTCCCTTGTCTACTCTTTCAAGACTTCTGCAGCCTTTTCACTCTCACCCACCAGCAGACCATCATCCCTTGTTTAGGATGCCCTAAACAAGCACTTGTCCACGTTCTCCATGTGCCCAGACATGGAAGTGTTCTTCCAAGGCAGCAGCACTGAAACTAGCACCTCATTTAAACCTATGAGCTCCTCAAATCACACACCCTTATCTCTCCACCTGGCATTTGCAGCACACTGGCAGCAGCTGGGCCACTGGCATGCTGAATCCCTACTCATCAGTGTTATTTCCTACCTGCTTATATTACCTTATCATTTCCCACTTCACACGTTCAAAGCTTATCACAACACCTGTGTCAACACCCATCTCTGACCAGGGCAACTGGTGGAACACAAACACCACCAGGACCATTTTGGAAGCATATGAAGTCCTGCAAAAGCACTGAAAGAACTCATATGCTGCCTGCACACATAATTCTCTGTAAGATTTAACAGCAAACATTCATTATGTCATTTTGCAAAACTGGGTGACACTTCAACATGCTATATGTAAGAACAGAGAAGTCACTATGGCACTTATAACTTTATGTCTGTGCTCACTGTCATAGAAATTATTGTTATTATTGCACCTACCTTACTGGATGCAAATCTCACCCTCTTCCACAAAACCTTTGCACATGTACACTCACTCCTAAGGGATTACCTACTCTCACTTAAAGTACTTTGTAAAGACTTGAAAGAGAATAGAAAGAGAGAAACATTTTTCCCAGTTTATCATACTGCAGTAGCAGGCTTCTTAAACATGAGTAATTTTACATTTTTTCTTCATCATATGTCTGCCTGAAGAATGTGTAATTCTTTCTTCTAGAAGTTAGTAAAGAACACATAACAGAATAAGAAAAAATTGTCAGGGAGAATGGAAAATAGATGCAAATTACATACTATATAACAGAAAAAAAGAGCTTTTAAGTGCTACCAGTCACTTCCTTCTGGTTCCATTTAAATTTCAAAATGGGGTCAGATCCATACTTCAAGCAGTAACTACTGCTTATGCAATTTATAAAAGCATACTGGAGCTATGTCATTCTAACCAGCTTTCAGTTACAGCTTAATATGACTCAAACCCCCGGACTTCTTCCTAGCTTTTAATTCTGCACACATCGCCCTTCAGCACAGATGTCGGCTGTCAGCAGCTAAACAAACCAGAGACCACCCCCGTGATCCCAGACCATCCCAGCCCGCTCGGCCTTGAGACCGTCAGTCAGGGATCAGCACCGAGGACAGCGCACAGGATTCAGAACTGTTAGAACTGTTCCGCTCCACTGTTCCCCAAACCAGCCCTGAAATGAAAACAGCGATTGGAAAGGGATCAAACTGAGCTAAGAGCAGCCTAAAGAATGGTATTAACTAAATCTCTAGCAGAGGTCAAAGAGAAGAAAGAAGCAGTGAACCACAAGAACAACCTGATATTTAATGCACCACAGCACCCTCAAAATGGTGGAAGTAAATGAAAGCCCTAAGTAGCTGAAAATTCCTGCAGCTGTTCTGTCTCAAACGACGACCTAGCTTTCACCTTGGCACTTCCACCTCTAGAAGTGCCCTAATGTCACAGTCTTGGGAATTAGTCTACCCAAGTTTCTAGAGGATCATAGAAGCACATGGAAAACAGACAGCAGACACTTAGGATAATAAAGTTTTTATCCAGCTCTTTTCAAGATCACTTTCAGAATAAATACACTGCACATATGAATTAATGTCCTCCTGGTATTGTCAGCGCCCTTACTGAGTTTCTTAATCCATGCGAAACCCTGCTGCTAATGTTCTTTATGCTCTGCAGAAGTGGTGGTTAAAAAATATGGTCCATATATCATAAAAACAGTTCTTTATTCACTATCATGTTAATTTCTCACAATATGCCCCACACAGCTTACTCTTATTGCTCTTTTTAAGACTGACTAATTCAAATAAAACAAGGCTGACAGTGAAAAAAACGGATTATTAGAAAGTTTCTCCAAAAGATTATCATAGATAACTTCAATTACAGATAGAGGGAACATCCTTATTAAATAAGGCTACTTCAGGGATACCTCCATGCATTGAATATTTCTTTCCCCCAGCACAGAAATGCCGTGCTATATAGAGAATCTTAACTCTCCACACAGAAAATTGCCCTGCAGGAGCTTTTCCAGCGGCGCATCGGCCCCGTGGCGCACCCCACGAGTCCTGGGCAATGGAAGGGTCTCGGTGCCATGAAACTTAACGCGTTTATTGCAGCGCCCCGAAAAACGCCTTCAGCGGGTACCAGAGGGATGACACCACCATGGATTCCAGGCCACCAATAGAGCAGAGGGAGGATCCGGGAGGGTCGGGTTTGTTCTGCGGCCCCTCCCCGTAACGCCGGGACGCGGTGTCCTGGTCACCCTGCCCCGGGGGCCGGAGCCTGCCGGGCTCTCAGGGCGCTCCCGGCTGAGGCCTCAGCAGAGCCGGGCCGGGCCGGGCCGGGCCGCCCCGCTCACCCCGCGCTCCGGCCCGGCCTGCGGCGCGACCCCTCAGCCGCACGGCGAGAGGCCCCGCCGCGCCGGGGGCCTGCGCGGGGGACGGGCCCTGCCCCGCGGCCGCCCCCCGCCCCTCACCGGCGCGGACAGACCTGCGGGGCCGCGGGGGCTCCAGCGCATCCACGGGGGCGGCGGGGAGGGCGCGCAGGGAAGGGAGCGAGCGGCGGGAGCGGGAGCAGCGGGAGCAGCGGGAGCGCCGGGAGCGCCGGGAGCGGCGGGAGCGGCGGGAGCGGCCGCACCTGCGTCACGTGAGGCGCGTGACGTCACGGCGGGGCGGGGCCGCACCGGCACCGCCGCCCGGGACACGCCCGGGATACCGGGCAGACACGGGACACACCCGGGACACCGGGCAGACACGGGACACACCCCCGACATACCCGGGATACCGGGCAGACACGGGACACGCCCGGGATACCGGGCAGACACGGGACACGCCCGGGATACCGGGCAGACACGGGACACACCCGGGACACGCCCGGGATACCGGGCAGACACGGGACACACCCGGGACACGCCCGGGATACCGGGCAGACACGGGACACGCCCGGGACACGCTCGGGATACCGGGCAGACACGGGACACGCCCGGGACACGCCCGGGATACCGGGCAGACACGGGACACACCCGGGACACGCCCCCAAGTCCCGCACAGCCCCGGGCCCCTCACGGATCCCGGTCCCGCACAGCCCCCGGCCCCTCACGGATCCCGGCCCACACACGGATCCCGGCCCACACACGGATCCCGGCCCACACACGGATCCCGGCCCACACACGGATCCCGTCCCACACACGGATCCCGTCCCACACACGGATCCCGACCCACACACGGATCCCGGCCCCGCACAGCCCCGGCCCCTCACGGATCCCGTCCCACACACGGATCCCGACCCACACATGGATCCCGGTCCCGCACAGCCCCGGCCCCTCACGGATCCCGGTCCCGGTGCTCCCACCCCTCAGCTCTCACCAAACGGGTACATAAACACAGACGAGCGCCGTGCCGGTGAGCACCCACGACAGGGAACGCCTAAGGAAACCCATCCGATGGACAAGCTGCTCGCACCGCTCCTGTGCAGGAGAAGCTTGACGGGAAGAAGATGGGATGTTTGACGTTTGCTCTCCAAGATTTGTACATAAAGTAGACTGAACGTAGTAGGCCTTGACAAAATGATAGTATCTGACCTACATGACCAAATATAAAATGCCAGACAATACAATTTCAAGTGTTCCTTTGCTAGTAGAATTCTCATTTACAACTTTGATGTTTTCTTTTCTCCTGGTTGCCTTCAAATTACATGTCTGCCCATTTTCTCTCATAAATCAAAAATTATGTATTTTTTATTTACCTGCTGTTAATTAAGTTACAGCCAAGATCAAATGCCTACATATATACATTGGGCATTGGTATTTCAGATAACTATTGACACCATCACATACATTCCAATGTTTGTTAACTTTCTGGGTAAGTAATAAGGAAATGGGGAAACTGGACACACCTTAAAAGGAAGAAAGAGCTATAATTTGTTTTGTGCTAAGAATATAGTACAAAAATGAGCTTTTCAGGGTCACATGGGCAGAAGTGGAAAGGAAAAACCTTAGGGAGGAACACAACAGGCATCATCTGGGGTTTTGTCAGCTAACAGGCACTCAGATTTTTTTGAGGCTTACTGGTTGATACAATTGTTGATTAGAGTAAAATTAATTTCTTCAAGATGAAAAAAAAAAACTTAATCCTCACACAAAGATA